TTCAATAATTTTGTTAAGAACTATTCCTCAACATTGTGCTTGTCTCTTATTTTCTAACCATAGCTAGGGTTGATGCATGTGGACTTCAGTCTAGGTGGAAATGGAGTATGTGGTAGTAGAAGGTCGTAGTGTGGAGTCTAGGTGGAAATGGAGTATGTGGTAGTAGAAGGTCGTAGTGTGGAGAAGACATCTTCTTATTATTATGATTATTGTCAACGATTTGGATTCACAACTCCATGCATGTAAGTTGAATGTGTATGGTTTCTTAGGGTACATCGAGTTAAAAAAATGTCAATTTATGCCGTCCCTCCATTACCCATTAATTAATATTTATAATTGGTTAGTGATGAGACATCTTTTGTCTATCCAATAGTGCCAGAATGCTGGTTATTTCCAAAGCCTGGATCAGATTGAATGCCTCATTAAAATATTAATTAGTATACAATATAATAATTTGTCTATGCACATAATGGGTTTTTAGTGACCTTAAATTCAGATATATCAGATGATTTTTTTCCGAAAATTTGGAATTTTTGACAAGTTTATCATCATTTTGTCAATATTAATTAATTATATTTTGTTTCTGCAACCTTATCATCATTTTGTCAGATGATTTTTTTCCGAAAATTTGGAATTTTTGACAAGTTTATCATCATTTTTTCAATATTAATTAATTATATTTTGTTTCTGCAACCTTATTCAAAACCTATAAATTCAGTTGATGACATTTAAAACCATATGCTTTATAATGGTAACTAAAAATCCTAGTGAAATAAAGAGATCTTATTAGTATATTTGACGCAGCGTGGAAGCAATAAACCGGGTTGGCTATGCAAGCATCGGGCGAATCAAGTTTCTAGCGAAACAAGAGAGAGAGAAAATCTCTAGAGGAGAGAGAAAAGGTGGCGAGAATTGAATAGAAAATCTGAAGTGTGTATTAACTGAAAACAATAGCAGTATTTATAATACATCTGGAAATTATAGAATAACTAGGAAAGAAAACTGTAGTTGATCTAAACATCTCAATCTCATAGCTGGATCGAACTCTTCTTGATCTTGGTCTTGATAGGATCGAACTCTTCTGGCTGGATCTTCACCGTTGGATTTTCTTGGATCTAATCCATGAATCTTGGGAGTCTTGGATTATTTGGAAGTCTTGATTATCTAGAATTTTTGAATTCTTGATGGATCTTGAATTCTTGAATTCTTGATTATCTTGAATTTTTGAATTATCTCTAGCCTTTATCCTTATCCTATGAGCTGCCGCCCCTAAGGTGATGTGGGCCTTGAGATGGGCCTCCAATATTACTTGTTAAGTTTTTTAGTGAAAACACTACATTTCTCATTTACAGTTTTTCTTGTAAATGAGTTTTCATTTGGTTTCCGAGACACTAATTAATCTTTTTTTTAATTTTTTTTTTGTGAGAAGAAATCATAGAGTTGGTATGGATGGGAAGTAGAAAAAAACTTCATTCTCTTTTGTAATCGTTTTAGACAGGATATAAGAACTAGTAATGATATTATATATGCATATTGTATATAACCCAAACTATTATATCTAATGATTTGCAGAGAAATTCTCAAAAGTTATTTATTATTAGAGAATTTTACTAGCAATTATAGGAAAATATTTGTTTCTAAAATTAATACTACTTGTGAGGAGTGTATGGGGAAGGGAGTCCAATGGCTGCAACATGGTGGGGAGCCCATGAAATTAGCTTCAACAAATGATCTAATATGTTTTGACTGTTTTCATTTGAATGGCTGAGAACAAAAGAGGGTCATGGAAGTTTTACAAAGCTTGGGCAGTAAGAAGAAGATCAAATGGTTAAAGCCACCATCTCAATTTTCTGGTTCATGGTGTAGTCAATTTTTTTACAAGGTAAATCTTGAGTGATCCCTCTATTCAAGCGATAAATTAACACAATATTATACCCTTCATTTATTCAGTAATTAATTAGTTTAAATTTCAACAAAAAGTACATTTTGAGAAGTAAAAAGAAATGATTTAAGCACTAACAATTTAACTGTGGGTATGGCTTTAAATATAATAGATTGACGAAGCAGGACTCATATAGCCGACCCCATATGGTTGGGATAAGACATGGATGATAGTGATTATGAAAATTTCAACAAAAGTATAGTCCCCTACTATGTCTAGAGCAAGTAGATACAAATCAAGGTGACTTGACATGATCAATTGGGTCCCATACAAGAGTATTGCCAATTTAATGGCTATGATAGAGAAATGTCAATAATAGATATGGATAACCCACTAAGAACTGGTTGTACCAATCAAGGATCTCTCAAATTTGTGGTTTCTGATCAATATTCTGCTAAGATATATCTCCACTCAATTGATCAAAAGAGTGATGAGGGTACTGCGGCAAACACCTACCATGGTTCTGAACTGATTCACCAGCCTGACCTGTCTCTATGAGTCATTACTTCTGACCCAAATTTAGAAATTTTCACACAAAGGAAGTCACAATCAGGATCAACACATTGGGACCAGGGACTATGCATGGTTCAATTTCTCAAGCTCTCGTGGTTCAGGAGGGCTAGAATTTCGACCACATTTTAATTGAACCAATTAAGCATCATCTCACTCTTATTGCTTGTGGCTATACTTCATAGAAATATATATATGATCCACTGGTCCTACATGATCAGTAGTGTCAAAAGTAGGACATGACCAGTGCCCACATGGAAAAGCATTTGGAGGAGACGTGCATTCATATCCTCCTAGAGTGTTTACTCCTGTAGATTAATTATAGTTTTTGTACCATATGATGCATTTTATACTATTTTTTTAACAATAATTTTGAGTTTGATATATGTGACCACTTATATAAATATAAATACTGAATTGTAGTTTCTAAATAAGAAGGAAAAAAATAGAAGGAAGTGTTCATGTATGATTTTGTTTTTTAGAAAAAAATATATAATTGATACATCAACAAAAATATATGGTTTTTTCTGATGTGGCATTTGAAAAATAAAATCATACACATTGTTGATGAACACCCCTTAGTTTAATTATGTGGTGAGTTATAAATAATATATTAATTGTTAGAACTTTGGCTCAATTTGAAAAGACTATAAATATAAATATGAACAATATATATATGTGATGAAATGTTTCTCTTTGTTTTTTCTGGCAATCCTGCAAGTATAATTCAAATGGTACTTGTAATGATTACCTAAGGTTTTTGTCCATCATTCTAAAGAAGTAATAGATGACCAGATCTCACAGTACATCGAATATGACCACAATAGCATTGCTAGTGTACATGTACTGGACCAAGAAAAGATTGGCCATTGTGCATGAATCTAGTTGTCTAATTTTTGTGTCAGACCTCATAAGTCAAAAAGAAAAAAGAAAAACAAGACCTTTTTTCAAGATAGTATTAATGAAAAACAATAAAATAGCCAAATTGCACCAAACCTTATTTTAACTCTACAAGACCTTTTCAAGATAGTACATTTCCCTTCACTAAATTGAAAAGAAAAGAAAAAGAAAACGCCTAAAAGGTTTATTCCCTTGTCCCTTCTCTTTTATCATTCTCATTATTTGCATCTCTTCCCTTTCTTTTACTAGACAAGAGTAGGGGTGAACAAGAAAAATTGAAAAATCAAATTGAATCGATCAGATCGAATTGTAAATTCTGGTTAACTAAATCAGTTGGTTTGATATTTTTAAAAAACCAAAAGYATCAATTTGGTTTTGGGTTAACCAATATGAAAAAATGATGGTTAATCAAACTGACTGATATACATATATTCCTATATATTAACTGATCGGCTTTGGTTCAGTTTCAGTTATTGATTTTCCAGAAATCGATAATATTACTTTGGTTTTAAAAATTAGACCATGGTTTGGTTAAGCTAACTGTGAGCACCCCTAGACAAGAGCAACTCAAGAAAACCAAAATGTAGATAGATTTCATTTATTTCAATATTTAAAAGATGGGGCAACTTTAACATCAAATTGTGCATGCATGGCATTAGTCACTTCTAATTACTACCTAAACAAGTTTTCTACAATCACAAATCTTCCCTTTAGGCTCAGTTTGAAAGGAGTACAAATACAAAAATTTACAATGCAAATACATTCAAAATAATACAAAATATAAGGTTTTGCACTTACAAAACCTTGTATTTTGATGTTCTCAAGGGGCAACACGCAAGAGAATGCTTTCATCCTACATGGGGCTGGCCATTTTGGGCTATAAAATCCTATTTTAATTACCATTCCATTCTATCAAAGGGAATATCTAGGGTTAGGTTAATTTTTGAACCCTCTGATTATTTTCTATTCCCAATCCATATTATTTTAGCCTGTCCCTACATCTTATATACCTTTCAACTTGCAAGCACGTAGAAAAGAAGAGAAATGTTAATATATGAAAGAAAAACTGACATTCATTAATCAAGTCACACCCACAAAGTAGGAATATATATCTATCCAATGGAGAGAGAAAGAGAGAGGTGGGTTTGAGAGAGAAAGACCAATAGAACTTATGGAAGTAAGATTTTTTTTAATGCCAAAGGAGGACCAAACAAATTAAAGAATGGTAGTTAGGTTTTACATCACCAACTATCTGCTTTTGTCCCAACTCACTTGGTCCCCTCACCAGTTCTATAGAATTCTATGTGCTACCTTTTCAGTTTTCACTTCAATGCGTTTAGACCACCCAAAAGTCTCCAATCAAATCCTTCTACGTCATTGGCCAGAAGCCAAAATAAAAATCAGAAGCTCCAAATCAACGTCAACCTCACAATCCTCCAAGAAGGAATCCCCTCACCCTCACCCTCACCAAAGAGGAGAACCCTTCTACTCTCTCTCTCTCTCTCTCCACAAACTCGAATCCAATCTCAAGCAGGACACGTACAGATGTCACATACCATACAAAAGAACACTTGTGACGTGTAAACTGACACCCCACCCATTCTCTCTGAAAGCTTTGCTCCCACACATAAAAGATCCATGAAATCTTCAAAGCCACTCCTCTTCAACGCTATTGCACTCAACAACAAAGCAAAGCAAAGACAACCCAGAAACAAGTATCCGTTATTCTCATTCTTTAGAGAAAGTGCCCAACAACATGAGCCGCCGGAATCGGAGTAATGCCGGTCACCGGATTCCTACACCTTCCTCTGAACCCGCTAAAACCCAAGAGCAGGTTGAGGACAGGCCCGTTGCTGAATCTCAATGCCCCTCTCCCACTGCCGTCGTCAATGTCGTCCAGAAGGAGCCTGTTAATGTTGATCCATCGGTACCCGAGGTTTCTGGACGTGAGAGACTAAAGAGACATAGAATTGAGATGGCTGGTCGAGTGTGGATTCCGGAGATATGGGGCCAGGAGGATTTTCTCAAGGATTGGATCGACTCTTCCGCTTTCAATTCATCGCTTGTCCCCAATGGACTAATGTCGGCTCGTGCAGCGTTGATCGAAGAGAGTCATCGAGCAAACTCAGGTGGATTAAGGATAGAGAATAGGTGTTATTAAATCTTGTTTTTCAGATGGCTTAAGCTTCAATTCAACTTTTGTTTCTAATAATTACTACTGTCTGTCGAATCTCATTGTTTCTTAACAAAGAAGGATATATCATATATATATTAAGATGTTCTTTTATGCATGTGTTCTTGCTCTTGGCTCAGAGAACTAGACACTCGATTATATTATACAGACAGACGGGTCATGTCCAGTTCTCAGTTGCTTTTTTCTGGCCATATCTCATCGAGTACTGGCATCTGCTATCTCCATGGATGGTGGTGGTCTAGCTCTACTGTATCATTTTCTGTCGTTTACTTCTCTCCATGGAATAATCCCTCCTGTGTAAATCAATCAAGCCCAAAATGTTTTCACCCTTTTGATGGTTACCGACCATCTTAGAATGGGGTCTGCGCAGTAGGGGAGACCATTAAGAGCTCTGGCATGGCTTTGGTTTGTTTTGTTCGATCGGATCGGTGGCCGGATGGTGAGACGATCGAGATGAAGGACATACCTGTGGCATGGAAAGGTGTTGAGCAGAGTTATCGACATGTTTGATCCATCCTCCTAGCAACATATATGAAACTTGATAGTCATAATAGCTAGTGTTCAACAAGAACAATGACTATATATGCTTACAGGTTTCAGCTCTTCAGCCGAGCTTCAATATAAATTGCCAAGAAAGAATTGAGCCAGTTGGCCGTGTTACTGCTGCAAATATCTGCATTAATTGTTGTCAAATGGTCTAGTTGTTGTTCACTTGCTCTTTCCAGTATAGCATTTAAGCTTCTTTAAATCATCTCAGTGGGTACTAGTTGAATCAAGGTTCCTTCTAAATCTAACCCAGAATCGTATCCAGTACTCCATATCTAGTTATTCAGATCTGGGTTGGATTCATGTGGCAGCAGATTTCTCCTGACCTTTGCCAGGAGTTAGGAATGAACCTTTTAGTTTGTGGGGTTGGCTCCAACCACCCAAACAATCCCTTTGCCACATGCCTATGCTGATTCCAGGCATGTTTCAATTTCTTACAAGTGATCTTTAATTAAGGAGTGGTTATCTAATCCAACCCATTCCTTAGCTTCTTCACAGTTATTCTATATAGATTACTTCTAGTAGAACAGTCTCTAACTCAAGTTCATGAAAACTGCAGTCTCCAATACTTGGTAGAATATCCGTGTGATATCTCTCAGATTTTGCATGCGTAAAACATGTTCCTTCTCTTTCTCCAGGTAAAACCCTTCGGAATCTTGTTTGCAACCTGTTGGGAAACAACCAGAAGGGATCTCTGCAATGCAAGGAAGGCTTTTCTATAAGGAATGAGGATGCACGGACCAGATAATTATGGCCATTCCTGAAGATTATGATAATAAGCTAGAGACTTTTTTGGAGAAGTTAGACCTGTTAGTCTCTATAAATCCGTGTACAAAGGTACAAAACTACAAATTTCTTCAGAATGTTGGATATATATATTGGGTTTTATTTATGTATATATTTTGACAAAGTTATTTCAAGGGAGAATGGTGATTTTGTGCTAGGGAGGAGCAACACAGAGAATGATACCTTGGGGCATGAATGAATTTAAGTACATAATAAAAGAAAGAGAATGCTATATTTTTATATTGAACACTGTTAAATTCTATTGAGGTTGTTACATACTGGGTTCCCAAGGACACACTCAAATGTAAGTGTATCTTTTTGATTATTTGAAAGACTAGATATATAGAAAAGGAACCAATTCATAGAAGATAAACATATCACAATTCAAGTGAATGAATTTCAAAGAGATAGGGGAAGGCCAACAAGGAGAGTGATTGTAGTAGCAGAAACTGAACTGGGGACTTACAATCCATTAATTAAGAGGATAAGGCCCTAGAGTGGAATTGCAAAAAAAAAAAAAGTTTGCATTGAAAGCATATTTTGAATCCCAAGTTCTAACTATATAAATGGAAATAAAATTAATCAACTTCAACATGAATCTGATAAGGGATGGTCTTCAACCCTCTGCAATCCTTTGTGCACTAGGAATACATGATGGGTTTCTTACCTTCTGTGAGGGTTGGGACCTTTTATAGAGAGAGGAAGCCTGAGTCCATGTCCATTAATTAAAAACTCTAGGTTTCTTAAACTAGTTCGATTTCCAACTCACAGCAAACCTCTCATTCATTCTGGTGGCTACTAGTGATCTGGATTTTTCAATCAAAGTAAAACTCTTAACTATTGTAAAGACCATAAAAATATTACATTCTCCCTCTTGGTCTACAATAATTAGGTTTTTAATTTTAATTTTAAAATCAATTTTGAAAAGATTCCTCCAGATTAACAACTTTAAATGACCTTTGGGTTTGCAAACTTATTTTGCATTCTTTTTTTGAGTTTTCATTCAGAATAAGAATGCAAACTCAAAAGTTTTCTTCAAAATAAGAGTGCAAACTTTAAATGACCTTCTAGTTTGCATTCTTACCGATCAATATAAAATATTAGTGGTTTTTTCATATTTTTGTATTTTTATCTTTTTATTTTATTTTTTTAATTCTTATATCATGGGTTGACACATTTTTTTACCCAAAAGGTTGAATTGTTTACCTGCCACCAAATAGGAAATTAAAGCAATTTCATTTTTGCGTTGGTATTAAATTTTGTATTTCTTTTCCAATATCAATAAAAGCAATAAGTATTATTTATCACATTTATTTTTCTTTAATATGATTGTACTTCTTGTGTTTATTTCTATATTAAAAGTATATTATTGAACTATGACAACATGGGTTGACTCATTTGATCCGGATGGTTGAATTAATTGCTTGCTACCAGGATGGAGGAATGATTCGTTTTTGGTTTGGTTTTAAAAACATGGATTTTATATTGTTAAAAGTATTTGATATAGATCTAATTGATAGAATTTATTGATGAGAAAATTATGTCTTAAATATAAGAGAAAGAATGAAAATTAATGCCTTAAATATATAATTAACAAGAAAAAATTGAATGATGTGAAAATTAGTATTTCAAATTACATTTTCTGCTCTCACAATTAGAAAAGGAGCCAAATTAAAAAATAGGGGTATTTTAGTTAAATAAAAGTTTCAAATTCTCATTCGTACTTTTAATAATAGTAATATATAATGTAGTATAGATATACATACAAAAAGTTAAATACAAATTATAAAAAATGCATGATTAAATGATTTTTAAGGGAAAAATGAGAGTGTGGCTTTCAATATTATTAGGTTTTCATTACCCAATTCTTATGGACATTGGAGTTTAAAAAAACAAAAAAACACCACAGAGGTGCAAGTTTGAATATTGAAAAAAAATGCATGTGGGTTGGAATTTATACTCCAAATTCAGCATATCAAAATGTCCATGATTGGAATTCTCAACTACAATTTCAATCCTACTAACTAATCAAAACTTGATTATTTTAACCACATAAAGAACAAAAAAAAGGCAAAATTGTCATTCCATGTTTGATAGCTTAAGTTGTAAGGATGGCAGTTTCCCCTCGACCCAATGGGTACCCGCCCTTACTCACCCCTATGAGGTGGGATTTTTTATTTTTTTTTGAAAAAATCAATTTTGGGGGGAGATGGGTTTTTGGATTTTACAACCCGTATGGGTATGTACAAATAGGGTAGGTATTAGGCTAAACCCAACCCTCCTAATCTACGTATAGGGTTGCAAACAGATCGAATCAAATTTGATAAAGGGTCTATCTTATTCGACTTGATAAAATTTTAAAGTTAACCCGGCGGATTTTGCAAATCATGATTCACATCCGATTTGTTTATCTTAATGAATATTCAACTAGAACAAAATAAGTACCCTCAGAAAGTAAGAAATGATTCTATGTATGTTCTCAGCCCTAAGCAGCAATAATGGCAGCTGGGTACAGGGATGAGCACTATCGAAGACTGAAGAGGAAGAGAGAGTCAAAGAGAAAAACTCAAAAATGAGAAAAGAACAACCCAAATCTAATGGCCCCAATTGATTAGGGATTTAGGGTTTGTGGCGCATAAGCCAAATTACTATATTATCCATAATAAAAATATAAAATTACAAAGATTTAAAGGAAACTTAAATAATATAAATTTAAGGGGTGGATATGTCATACAAAATTACTTTAAAGCATATGTAAAAATTAAAAAAATGAATTATATATATTAACAGATTGGATCAGGGTATATTTGAATGCAATCCATTAACTTTTCTGATTCGATCCAATTTTGTTAGAATCAAGAAGGGTATCCAAATCTGCCTCTTACTGAATTGAATTTGAATTCAAATCAGATCTGATCCGACTTATTTGTAGCCTTAATTGAATTTACTAAAATACCCCTTGTACTTATAATTAAATTACCATATACTAGGGGGTATACCTAACCCCCAATGCTTATGTATTATGTGTTGAATCTCATATGAAAATCCAACCTACTGCGTGTTTTGGGAAGGGTACGGATTTGGAGGTTTGGGGAGGGTCTAGATTGATTGTCACCCAGCAATGCATCCAACACTTTTACTATGGAGTCTAGAGTTATCATCATTATCATCCATGCCTTATCTCAACTATATGGGGTTGGCAAACTCAAAAAAACAAAAAAAAAAAACTATATGGGATTGGCTATATGAATTCTGTTTTGACAATCCATTCTATTTAAAGCTATGTTTACTATTAAATTATTAATGCTTAAATCATTTCTTACTATTTCTACCCACGTCCCATTTTGTCTAATCCAAGCTCTTCTAGCCCCTTCAATGTGTAACAAATCACTTTTAATTGGCGTAGTTGATAGTCTTCTATATGTGTGTCCAAACCATCTTAGTCTACTCTTTCTCATTTTTTAGTTTTTCCATTCATCCATCTTAGCATTCACATTTTTGTCAAATTTACTTTTTGAACATGTTATTTTTTGACTGTACAACACTCTACTCCATACAACATAACTTACTTTACAACTATTTTATAAAATTTCCTTTGAATCTAAGTGGTATTCATCTATTATAAATAGTCTATATAAACTAACGTGTCATGTGGGGAGAGCCCATTTGACAAACCAGGCAGTTGAATTAAGACAAGCATTGTCATAGAGAATTGGCATTTGAAAGTTGTTAAGTGTCAATTATGCAATAAGCAAGGTAATTGGTATAGAGCTAAGAAGTGCTCCAATAAATTTTCAATTTGCAAGTATTGGGAGTTACATATCATGACGATACCCTATATGAAGATTTGAACTTTGGGGTGGTTCCTCCATCAAACCTGCTTTACGGATTCATGATGCTGGTGGAAGAAATCAATTTCAAATCCCTAGTTGCATACTAGGATTTTGATCAAAATCAACAATTTTTTGTGCAAAATTAGTGTTAGATAAGAATATCTAAGGCCATGTTTGGGAGTGCTTAAAAATAAATGCTTATTCAAAATAAGTACTTATTTGGGTGGAGACTACATCATTAAGCACTTATTATTGGTGTTTGGGAAATACATCTGAAATAAGTGCTTATTTTAAAAGTAAGGGCTTATTTTTTAAGCCCAAATTTTTAGCTTTTTTTAAGTGTCAAACAAAAAGCACTTATTCAATTTTTTTTTTCTTTTAGAATTGTCCCCAATAAATTTTTAGAATATCAATTTATACCTTTTTATGAAAGCAATTTTACAAAAGCACTTTTATAAAAGTAATTTTATGAGAAGTACTTTTACAAAACTAAAGTATTTTTATTAAAGCAAAGTACTTTTATGAAAGTATTTTTACAAAAGCACTTTTATAAAAGTACTTTTACATGAAAACACTTTTATAAAAGTACTTTTACATGAAAACACTTTTATAAAAGTACTTTTGCATGAAAACACTTTTATAAAACCACTTTCACAAAAGTGTTTTTATAAAAGCACTTTTACAAAAACACTTTTATGAAAGTACTCTATAAAAGCACTTTACAAAAGTACTTTTATGGAAGTACTTTTATAAAAGTACTTTTGTGGAATTTACAAAAATACTTTTATAAAATCATTTTTATCAAAGTACTTCTATGAAAACACTTTTATGAAAGTATTTTTATAAAAACACTTCTATCAAAGTACTTTTATTCATTTACTTTGGATTGGATGTTTTGAAAATTTGAAAGAAAATGGACCAAAAAGTCACAAATGCTTATTAGAGAAAAAGACCACCAAATGCCCAATATAAAATAATAAGCACTTGAAAAAGCTAGGTGTCGAATGCAAATAAGTGCTTATTCAAATAAGCACTTGTTTTTAAACACTTATTTTTAACATAAGCACTCCCAAACATGACCTAAGTTGGATTGTGCTAATTTCTAAATGCCCCTGTCTTAATGCATTTTACAGACAAGAAACAATGGGCAATAAAAATGATGTTGCAACTGAAAGTTTGGAAATGTTATATTGATAATTGATCACTTTAATAATGCATCTAGATGTCTATAACTATTTATATAAAATAAATTAAGCTGAAATGTGTACGAAGGAAAGAATGAAAGCTTCTAGATGCAAGAAATGGAATCTAATAGTAACTTTTGGCCTTTTCCTTTGAAATTACAGGAATATCACATAAAGACTACCACATAAGACAAGCCTTCCAACTTGTAATTGCCTTTATAATATTCGAAAATTACAAAACTACCACATATAAGACAAACCTTCCAATTTAATTGACTCTATGATATTCAAAAATTATAGGAGTGCCATATATAATTATTTATGATTTTTCCATCCTATAAAATAAAATGCCATCCCTCTTCTCTCTCTCTCTCCTATTATTTATCTCAACTTTTATTTATTCATTTATTATTTTTTATTATTAACTAAGCATTTATTTATTTTATTATTATTTACAATTTTTCCATCCCTCTTCTTTCTCACCTAATTCTCTCGCTCTCCTCCTATTCTTTACCTCAACTTTTATTTACTCATTTATTTATTTTATTATTATTATCTATGCATTTATTTATTTAATATAATTAAATAAATTATTTATAAATCATTAAAATAAAGGAGATTTGACCTTGAGAGGAAGATTTTAATATACATTTATTTATTTATTTTACTAAATTATTTATTTAATTTATTATTATTATCTAAGCATTTATTTATTTATTTAATAAAAGTAAATAAATTATTTATAAATCAATAAAATAAAGGATATTTGACATTAAGAGAAAGATTTTAATAGACATTTATTTACTTATTTTACTAAATTATTTATTTATTTATTTTATTTATTTTCTTATTATTATTTTCTAAGCATTTATTTATTTAATACAAATAAATAAATTATTTATAAATCAATAAAATAAAGGAGATTTGACATTAGGGGGGGCAACCATTGGGTGGGGAGTGGGGGAGGGGGGAAATATACATGAAGAGTGGGGATTTGTTGGGCCATAGGGGGGTCATGGCTCCCCGGGGTCCCCTTGGGCTCCACTCCTAGGGTTGGGATTAAACCTATTCACCAGCCACACTAGGCTTTGCCTTTATATCAATAGAACATATTCAGGCTTAAGCGTAAGCATGACCGGACCATTGGGCCTAGATCTTGACCCTGAGTCTAACCCCCATATAAAGCTCGAAGCCCGAACAAGAAATCGAGAAAAAAAGATTTGTATTCTTTATTTAACAACAAAATTGATTTATTTATATTAAATTGACTTCAAAAGCGAAAATTGTATTTATTTATTTATTGTTTTATTTTATTAAATTAAATATATTATTATCCACTAATATTTATTTATTTAATTCAACATGTGCCCAATATTTAGGGTTGTCAATGGATCGAGTTTGGTTCTAGATAACTTTGACCAGCCATGTCCTAATAATAAATGAATATTTACTTATATATTTTATTACATTAAATAATTGATTTATTTATTTTACAAAATTAAGTAAATTATTATCCATGGATTTCTATTTATTTAATTTATTAAATTGTTCAATTAAGTAATAATTTATTTTACTAACAAATGATTTCTCTTTCTCCCTTAGCCTAATAATTTAGGCAATGTTTTCAAAACCGGATGGACCAAACGATTGGACCAGAAAAATTAGGAACCATTGGGGGTGGGGGGCAGGGGTAGGGAGAATAAATATTGATGGCCATTGGGGGGAATATAGATGAAGAGTGGAGATTTGTTGGGCCACAGGGGGGCCATGGCTCCTTGAGGTTCCCCTATCTCTACCCCTGGGGTTGGGATTAAACCTATTCATAGGCCACGCTAGGCTTTGCCTTTATATCAATGGAACATATTAAGGCCCAAGCCTGAGCAAGACTGGACCATCCGACCTAGATCTTGACCCCAAAGTGCACCCATTTTTTGGATGAACGTTGTTGCTTTCATTTAAATGCAACAATGTCTCAGAATCCATCTTTATTGTCACTATTAACACACAAAACACACCTTTATGAAACATATTCAAAACTAAACCAGAATGCATATATACACTGAACCAGCATTTGCAATCTTCCCTAAGTCCAAATGCAGCCCCAAAGATTAGGGATTAGTAGGGTTGGCAATTTTGACCCCAACCCACCCACTTTAGTAAAGGGTCTTCTACTCTTCATCCTCCTCCCCTCTTCTTATTTGGCATTGGGTCAGATCTATGATGGCATGGCCGCTGGATAGAAACCAGAGCGGAGGCGATGTATTTTTACAATTTTTATATTTTTTATTATATATTAAAATGTTAGCATTTTCTATATTTTTTTGGTATTAGCTGAAATATATGATCGTTTTGATTGTTTATATATTTTTCTGTAATTTATTATTTTTGGTTGAAATATATAACTTTTGAATTTTTTTATAATTTTATTTATTTTATGCATTTTTTGGTTTTTTATCTTTTTTTTTTGTTTTTAAATTTCTCAGTTGAAATATATATTTATTTTGGATTTTTTATCCATTTATGCATTTTATGCAATTTCTACTTTTTGAAATATATATTTTCAAACTTTATCATTTTCCTTATTTTTTGCTATTTGTATTATTTTTCTGTGAAATTTTGTTTTTTTCTTTTTAAATTTATGTCAAATTTTGTGTTTTTATTATTTCTTTGCATTTTTTGTATTTTTCTGTAATTTTCTTGATATTTATAGTTTTGTTTGGTATAATATTTCTATTTTCTTAATATTTGCATTGGGCTAGTGGGTCATATGGGTGGGTCAGGGTGAAGGTGGCTTGTGACCCACTAATACTCAATAAATATGGGTGACAATGGGTCAGTGGGTCAATATGGGCGGGTTGGTACTCAACTCACACCCAACCCACCCCCCATTAGACCTGTTCATGGGTCGGGTGGCCCGATGGGCCCCAGACGGGCTTGAACATGTTTATAGGCCCGCGGGCTTAAACTTGGGCCAAAAAGCCCGGCCTGTAATAAATTTGAGCCGGGCTCGGGTTTTGTCAAAATAGCCCTGCCCAACCTAAAATTAGACTTAAAATGGGTTATGTGATTATGTCCATTTGAATAAATTTTTTGATTTAAGAATGTAAAACTGTGTTTTAAAACGTAAAAGAAAGGGAAAAAGACCATCTTGTAGGCCCATTATTCATTTAAATAGGAAAAAAAAAAACATATGAATTTTTAATTCTAATTTGAATAGGGAAAATTGTAATTTTTTTTATTAGGTCGGGCTTCAAGCTTTTTATTAGGACCGGCTCGGGCCCAAGTTATAAGCCTGTTGGTCGGGCCGGGCTCGGGCTCGGGCCTAGCGTATTTTCATTAATGATGAGTAAAAGCCCGGCCCGGCCCAGCCCATGAACAGGTCTACCCCCCATTTGTCACCCCTCATTAGGGCACATCCGGTCCGGCCTATGGGTTGAAAGGTGATTCGGTCCAGCCCGGCCTTATCAGCTCCTTGCCTTGGTGCGCGTAGTTTAAGACCTATGCGCACCTGGCGCAATGACCAAACGAAACAAATAAAAAAGCCCCTCCCATTCGTTGAAGAATCTCCTCTCTGCGCGAAGAGTGAAGGAAAAGGAACAGAAAGGCCGAAACAAGCCATGGATTCGACTGCTCGGAGAAGCGGAGGACTCTTCGAAGGGCTCTACAGAGTCATTATGCGCCGGAACTCTGTATATGTTACCTTCATCATCGCAGGCGCCTTCGTCGGAGAACGGGTGGGGCTTCTCCTCAACCTCCTTTTTGTCTCTGGTTCTCTTTTTATTTTTGTCTTGAAGGTGGTCATTCGTTGAGTATTTTTTTTTTTTTAAATCTTCCTGATTCGATGTTGTTCGTTCTTAATTCAAAACACGCCTGAATGTTTCTAAATGCCTAATGCCTTGTTGTTCGACTAAAGTCCGCGATCTGGAACAAAAGATGTTGATATCTACAGTTTCTATTCTACGGTTGAGATCAAGCTGAAATTTATTTAGATGACAATTCATAGAACTTGTCATTTAAGAGTTCTATACTTTTTATTGCCTGAATGATTTGACTGGTATATGAGGATCTCATTCTCATTACTACTTGCTTAAAAGATGCTGTTTTTTCTTCCTTTTCAGTCTTTTTTTCTGGTTCATTGAATCAAGGATATTAGGTAATTGATGAGGTGATACCTTTGTATACAGGTAGTGGACTACGGAGTTCATAAGCTCTGGGAATACAACAACGTTGGGGTATTACATTTACTGCTTATCTTGTTCTCTGTAGTGGATGTATCTTATTTCATCTTCCTTAAACAGTTAAACTGCTAACATATTTGTGCTTATTGGTTCTTGTTTACTGGAAATGCTATGCACTTTGCATTTTATACATATAAAATTTCACACATTGCTTATTCTTAAATTGAAGTTTGTATAATCTGTTGAAGCATCTTAGAGCATTAATGATTTAGAGGCTTGCCATTTGTTTATTGAAAATGCTATATATTTTATATTTTATACATATGAAAATTTTAGGGAAAATTCCCGATTAGTACTCTGTACTTTGGGCCTAGTGCCACTTTGGTCCCCAAACTTTAAAACACCAATTCAGTACCCAAACTTTCAAAATGTGTCAATCCAATACCTGCAGTTAAGCCTGTTAACCAGCCATTAAGTGGCATTTGAAAAGACACAAATGACCTTCGAGTGTTTTCTAATTTTCTTTATCGACCATCCAAATGTTGATAAAAAATGAACAGTCCCAAATCCTTGCCTCTTCTGTTCAAGAAAGTTGTGGTCACCAGAATGCCCATTGAGATGGGACCCCAACTTTCTTGAATAGAAGAGGCAAGAATTTGGGACTGTTCATTTTTTATCAATGTTTGGATAGTTGATAAAGAGAATTAGATGACACTCGAAGGGCATTTGTGTCTTTTCAAATGTCACTTAACGGCTGGTTAACGGTAGGTACTGGATTGACACCTTTTGAAAGTTTGGGTACTGAATTGTCGCGTTTTAAAGTTTGGGGACCAAAGTGGCACTAGGCCCAAAGTACAGGATACTTATCGGGACTTTTCCCAAAATTTTATGCATTGCTTATCCTTAAATCGATGTTTGTTTGTATAGCCTGTTGAAGCATCTTAGGACATTAATGGGTTTGGTTGGCATTCTTTCTAGATAGTAATTCAGGGACTTTCCTTAATGGAAAATGGGATTGATAAGAAGTTAAACAGCATGCTTCCCATGAGGACTAGAAGTCCTCATTTGTTTATGAGCATGCATATTTGAGATGCAACTTTGTTCCTCAAGCAAAACCCTCTGCAACCAGTGGGAGCTTCTTTCCCCCATTACAACATTACAGAAACTATAAAAGATGCTTCCTGAAATGAAATACAGAAAATGCTATGACTATGATGTGCAAAATTATGTTTTTACTTTTCTGACATTAAGTTACTACATAGAATCATTTGTTTATGTTATACATATTTGAGGTGTATGTTTATTGCTTAAGCAAAAGTCTCTGAAATTAGTGGGAGGTTCTTCCCCATAACAATATTACAAAACTATAACAAATACTTCTTGAAATAACATACAGAAAATGCTATGATGTGCAACCGTGCCAGGTCATTTATTTAGTGAATTGGAGGAGAATGTGTAGGTTTTGGGGATTAGAAAGGTGAAGGAATTCAATGTTGCTATGTTGGGTAGTGGAACTCCTCTACTCCAATCGTGATCACCTGACCATCAGGGAATCTTATAGCTTTTCTCAATTGACGGGCTGCTCTTTGCAGTCTAAAGCTCCTGCTCATAATCAAGAGCCACATAGGCAATCCTTTATATCATGAACAGCAGTTATGTTTGAAGGAGTACCCCCTCTCTGTCAGAATCTTCATCAAGCAATTAGTTAGATCTGGCCTGCAAGATCAAGTGGGAGGATGGCATTGGGAAGCACATAACCATCATAAATAGGGACTGTGTGGAAACTCCATCACCACTCAAGACTTACAGGTGGATGGCAGTGACTGGCGGCAAGTGGTGAAGAAGATGGATGGCAGATGATGAACACATGTGAGCAACTGAACAGCACAACCGCCAGGTGGTGACTAGTGACAGTACCACAGTTCACATATAGAAGAAGAAAAAAGGTGAACTGCAATGGTGTACGTTGGAGAAGAAAGCAAATGACGACACCATAGAAAAACTAGTTGTGCCTTTCAGTTTCTGCTTGTCATGTTAGTAGCCTGCTGTTATGATAGGTTTAGGGTTTTCTTTTCTTGTTAGAAATTTAAGGGTATAGGTAATACAATAGAAAATTAATTCTAAACCATAGGATTAGGAGATACTAATTTTCATTCAAGGATAAGATTGCAATTTAGAATATCATACTTACACATATAGAATAATTTTATATTATATAATATTATTATCTGGGCTGGGCTAGGCTTAGAAGACTAGGCTCACAAAAAAAGCTATTTATTAAGTTGATACATATGGACGCCATAATATGATAATATTACAAGTATATCATGGGATATGCTAATATACATATAGCTAAAATTATATATACGATTTATTCATCAAAAAAAAAATTATATATACGATTTTTTTGTTCATACTAATACAATGATACCTTACCTTTTGTTCATAACATATATATATATATTCAGTTTAGATCGGGTCTGTTGGTCTGCCATAACCTATTGACAGCTCTACTCTCTGTAGGGCTACTAGGTCCATCTGAAGATGAATGAGCGCAATAACACCACCTTCTCAAGATGTCACGTATGGGGAACAGTGCAAAGATATCTAGTCCTTTTATCCACCTTAACTGAGACATCCCCCATGATAGCCCCCTTGGCTTGACCTTTCATTGAAAATTCACAAGTTCTGTTTCCTTTTTTTTCCATAACGACCATAATGTAGCTGCCCTTGCCTTTCTCCACACATGAAAAACCAAACATATACTGAAAACATATGAGCAGGAGATTGGTGAAGAGAAGGTGGATTCACAACTTGCTTTACTAGAACTTTTGAATGAAATTGGAAGGCATATTTTCTAGAACTTGAAAAATAAAGACTATGAGGAGTACATATGTCAACAGGTTTAATCATATATATATATATATATATATATATATTTGATGGATAGTTTAATTATATTCTACCAGTGGTCATTGATAGCTATTTAAAGTATCTGAATATATTAAGCATAGAGATTCAGGAAGTTGTGGTTCCTCTTTTCCTGTAAACCCTAAACTTCGTGATACAAAATAAATAGCAATTACACACGGGCAGCTTGTTGAATGCATTTGTCCAGCTGACCAAGTTACTCCCGAGTAATAGATCTCAAGGAAATCTTTCTTTCAGATGAAATTCTGCTCATTATGTATGAATTGGCATAATAGCATGGGTTATCCAAGAAGTAATTTGTTGGAGTTGCCAACTCTTGGACGGCAAGAAGCCAAGAACTATACTACTACTTACAAGGGCACTAAATATTGTCTTTCCTGTGTCAAATATTTCAGGATCTAATATCATTCATGTAACAGGCAATTGTTGCTTGGGCTCTCCCATTCTTGATTGCTATTTTCTAAGAGAATTTCATGTTGTTCTAATGCAGAAGAGGTTTGAAGATATTCCAGTACTTGGAACGAGGCAATCTGAAGAATGAATTATCATATCTCCTTTCTTTCTTACTGGTTCCAGACCTTGGAAATTGGGCTGAAAATTGATACATGCAATCATCAATTTTGAGGGTTTTTGAAACATTTTGTATGGACTACGGTTATCTAATAAGTGCCAGCTTGTCTGTTCCAGTAGGTTTAACTGCATATGAGGTTATAGCCACCAAAAATATTGAATTTCTGTGGTTGGAACTCTGTATTTTGGGTTTTCTGTCTGAAATTCGAGCAATGTATTACCGATATTTGTATTAGAACGCTTTTTGTTCATTTGGATTTGTGAGAACTAAATAGGGTTTAAACGATTCCCCATACTTTTTTTTTTCTGTAAGTTGGGATTTTCAATTTTCTAAAGCGTCTGTGACACCGAACTCGTCTCTCCATGGAGCTGATTAAATAAAACAGTAGAGACACTAATGATATTGCCTAAATTCCTTGTACAACGGGACTGGATCTAGTAGGCACAACATGTATTAAGAGAAGTGTCGAGAAAATTAAGAGAAGTGTAATTTTTCTGAGGGTATTTTAAGAGAAGTGTCGAGAAAATTAAATACTCGTTTTAACATTCTTATAACTTGTGTCAACCTGATCCAAACTGTCAGAATAATACAGAAAAGATAATGTTTTGTTTCCATGTAGCTGATTACATAAAACAGTACACTAATGATATTGCCTAAATTCCTACTTTCCTAGTACAACATTCCTGCATGACATCTATGAAAACTACAAAACATCATCTTTTCTGTATTATTCTAAAACTTGCCAAGTGGTATCGACCCAATCGATATTTTCTCATTGATGCACATGCCTCCTTTCTAGTACTTAGCGATGCAATGAAGGATTACTCCAGGAAAATATCATAGCAGACCTATCGGAGGAGTGCCACCATGCTCTGCTTGTTATGATAAGCTTCAACTTTGAAAGCAGTATATTTCTATCCGAGTGCCTGTTTAGTTCAGCTTTCATTCTTGTTCATTTTTTCCAATAATAAAATTATAAAATGGATGGGTAGAAATAAGTATCATAAGAAAATGTTAGATATGAATTAAATGGTTTCTTTTACCAAAAAAAAATGATGATGGTAAGAATGAGAACAAAATTGTGAAATCATTTGGTTAGAAATAYGCATATGTTACTCGGGTTATAACCACTGCTTTATGCCAGTGGTTATAAACCATCAGCCTAAGTTTTCAAACCATCGGCAAGGCATAGATTTTTACCTGTGGACTATCGGTAGTTGACCACTCCACTGACCATTTGTCAATAAAATTCTATGCTGGTGGTTCGGAGACATAGGTTGATGGTTTAAAATGAGTAACATGAGGCATGATTATTTTTTGCGCTGTAGATTACCTCAGTTTTTATGCCAGATTCGTTTTTTCATTCTAAAAAAATAAGACCTAAAACAAGAATTTTGTAATCAAACGCCCTCATGCTATTCATTTTTGCCCATTCTTGTCTGAACTAAGAATTAAAAACTTGTAGCAGCAAATCAAACATGGCCTTAGTTTATTAGACATCTCATTTTTATTTATTGTTCAATATATGCATCGTATGTGAATGTAGATTACTTAATCTTTGAATACAGATCATGTGCATATGTAACCAATGACTGTACCAGTGATTAACTTGGCTGGTGCAAGTAGAAGTTTCTTCTACTCGGCATATCATAATAATGGGATTACCAAACGGCATCTGGCCTGTTTGGCTACCACATCGCATTGTTGTTCAAACAACCTCATGGTTTTTAGACCCTTCCTCTGCCTATGCCCATACCAAAGTCTTTGTTGAAATACCATGTAGATGAGCCATACGATCTCTCCAATGTCAATTCCACGCACACACACGCTGGGTCAAGGGTTGATTTTTCATTTCTTCTTGGAGAAAAAAAAAAGAAGAATAATAGAGAAGCTAGCAGAAGGGACTCTTATTTTATTATAAGTAACGGAAGAATCATTCATAGTGCATCTGCTGTGGACTCACACTATTAAGATTCAAGGACTATAAGATGTCCAACAAGCTGACTACCTGCTATGGCCCTATGACAACATCTCACGCCAAGAACATGGTAGGGAATAGGGATGTTTATTTGCTTTCATTCTATCAAAGAAATTGCTTTTTGATGATTTCCCCAAAAAAGAATAAATGAAGAAATGTCCCTCAGAGGACATTCTAGAGGTGCTTTTTCCCCACTTAAATCATTATTTCCTCCAAAAAGACTGTTACTGTTTGAATACAGATGGAACTCAAGTATATGAGATGCTACAGCGAACAGAATTTGCTTTCATGGTTCAGCCATAAGGCCCATAAATATCCAGCTTAGCTATGATGATACAAAAAGTGACATGATTCTAGTTTGCTAAAATATTATGTCTATCTGCAAATATCCATGACAGGGATGCCGTGCTAGAAAAAGGAATTCACAAGAATTGCTATTTCACCATGAAAGAGCTCTTACAACTACACCCGCCAACTGCACTGGGATTTGTAGTTACCTGCACATTAAACAGTGATATATCCATTACTACAGTACATGGTTCTTGAAGGGAAGTAGAGCGGAAAAACTGGACGGTTTATATGTGAATTTTTAGGAACACATGATATAAGTGGAATAACCTTTTTATTGTGTTCCTCATCATACATTAACAATAATAGAGAGGATGAAAACCATCCACATTTGTTTATTGTAATATTATGGCATAATGTTATTTTTTTGATAGGCACTATTATAACAAAATGTTATAAATAGAAGTGAGGAAGCTTTTATTTCTTTTAATGCATTACATTCAATTGAATATGAGACGACATACTTGTTTATGTTAATTTTGTGCAATTTACGTGAATTATTAATTCTGAATTTTTTATTTGCAATTTCACAAGTGATAATCAATGATTGATGGCTAATGGTACCTATATAGTTATAGATGATGATACTTCAATTCTATATTTAAACATGATGGTCTTACTATTAGAAATTGCAAATATGAGAACTTTCTAATTTCTCATAAATTTTCCTATTTTTCTAGGATATTTACTATATTATTTTTATTTGTTTTATCTCCATGCTTGGGAGGCTTACACCTCATGCTTTGGGATGCCTTATGTCAGGAACTTCGTGTTTTAAAAGCTTGAATATAGTCATATCAGGTTCTATTTATGAACTCACACTAATGCTTTGTATATTCACTCAACATTAGGAAGTTGGCTCAACATTAGGAACTCACACTAAGCATCAAATGCTTGGAGCCTGGGATCAAAGTATGGAATATAATGCAAGTCAGAGAATGACAAAACCATAAAAAGTATTCCACTATGAGAAGAAATCATTGAGGACATAGCAGATGGAACTTTGCAATGATTCAGCTGACATGCCCTTGGATCTGTACCTCCATGTGCCTAAGATTAAAGCTAATAGGCCCCTTGCAATAAATCAGTAGAACTAGTGCAAAGCAAAACGATACAACTTGACCTTGCTGGAGCATTATAGATGACTCTTTTAACATATTAATGCAATATCAAACAGGGTAATGACAACCCTCCATTTGTTTTTCTTTTGATTTATGAGAGCTGATAAATTGCATTGAGAGAAAAGGAGACTGGGGACTAATCCAGGTTCAGAAACTCAACATGTAATGTAACGTAATGTTAAGGAAAGAGAAGTTTGCTCTTCTGAAGAGAACTCTGAAGCACACTCCAAGAGAATAAAAGAAAGCTATTTACATTTTGGTATGCTTTCCTTTCTTTTGTATGGAGGGGATCTGATTGCTAGGAGAATGTTGGGATAATCTTTAATGAAACCTATAAGGTCAGAATAACAAGTTGGAGATGCAAAAAATGTAGTGGACTGGGATCAGGTATATTCAAATTGAAGTTAATTACATCTCTACAATACCTAGATTCAACTTAAATACATTGGCACCAGATTTGGATACACTCTGACAAGCATGGTCTTTAAAGAAAAAGAAAAAGAACCAAAAAAGGAAATTAGACCAGGGTGGTCAGATGAATGATAAAGTAGGATTTACAAATTCGGGGCCTGCCAGGAAGATGTATATTAATGCTGTAATGCATTAACTCTCSTTCATGGTTAAAAGTTGTAATACAGATCAAAATGGTCATCATTGAACTATTTGATAGGTTCTCTTCCCTCAATATGTCTGTAACATAATGAACTTTCGGTCCATTGGTAAATATTGGAAATATTCAGCTTTGCTAAGTTTAACAACCTTAACCCCCCCCCCCCCCCCCGGCCTCTGGTTTAATGTTGGTGATTGAAAAATTTTAGTTTTTAGATTGAAAAGAAAACCAACAGCATCAACTTTCCTGGCCCCAGGACCATCATGTGTTAGGAAACATTCCAAGGCTCACTAGACAGTAGCACAATCCTACCCCTATCCCCAGCAAAAAAGGGCCTGTTGGGAGGTGGATTCTAATGAATAGAGGCACTGAGTCTTCTTTATCATTAGAGGTTGAAATAGAGATGAAGAAATCAACTTTGTAATTTATCTTTGAAAGGAAACTACCTAGTACCTAGATGCCATATGTCAAATAGGTAGATCTCAAGGCCATGGTATCTATTTAAGACAACCCTGACTTCTTAAAATTTCAATCATCTACCACTTCATGGTTCTTGTTAAATAGAGAAAGTTCTGATCATACCAGTGCCACAAATTTTGGGTGATGTGGCTTAGATGATGTTCCTGGCATTCATCAGTCATGAAATGAACTAGAATTTTAACAAACAACCCCCAAACCTTACAATATAACAAAATAATAATAGTAAACATGATCCCAGGAAAGTCAGAAACCACATCTACAGCCTTTCTCAGTTTTAAACAAGACGCAATATAAACATTTCCCACAACTATCTCCTTCCAGAAGTAACACTAGCATCCTGCACCTCCTGAACGTCTCACAAAATTTCCAATAACCAATATTAGCATTTCTGTTCTAATTCCATAAGCCTGCATATTTAATCCACATTATAGATTCAGAACTTTTAGTCCTCTCTTTCTTCTAATTCCAGAAAAAAAAAATCTTGCACATTCTTCACCTCCTAAAAGGAACAAACTCAAACTCTTCCCACTTCTCTTTCAATCATCTTAACTATCTCTATCTTTTTATCAAATTTAACCACTTCATCTAATGGGAAAACACCACCCAACTCTTATTGATCTGGCTCTATATCCCCTTCCAACTCCAAATAATCATGGAAGTTATTAAATGATTCTCTGCAATATGGTATGGTTCTAACGAAAATCAATATATCAAGTGTTCATGGACATACGTTTTTGAACAGAGTCAGAAACTTTAGAATGTTTGGGTTGTCTTTGAGTCTTAGGAGGTAAGATAAACTACTTGAATAGAACCATGTAGATGTAGATAAAAATTCAATATAGATGCAGCTTTGAAAGGCAATCCTGGTATTAGTGGTTCTGGAGCTTAGCACAACTTTGAGAGTCATCATGCAGCTTGGAAAGGCAATCCATGTTCGTCATGCCAGCCTCTATTAATAGGGTAAATTTCAGCTTCAAATCACTTGCCACATGCCGCTAGTAAACCACCATTACTAGGTAGTCTTTGGTAAAAGGGCAGCCTAGTTCACAACTTTGAGAGTCATCATGCAGCTTGGAAAGGCAATCCATGTTCGTCATGCCAGCCTCTATTAATGGGGTAAATTTCAGCCTCAAATCACTTGCCACATGTCACTAGTAAACCACCATTACTAGGTAGTCTTTGGTAAAAGGGAAGCCCAAATCTCAAGGCTTCCACCAATGCAGGGTCTGGGGAGGGACAGATGTACGTAGCCTTATCCCTACAGATACACAAAGAGGCTGTTTACAAGATTTGAACCCAGTTCGTGATGGAGCAACCCAAACTGTTGCACCAAGGCTCACCCTCAGTAGGTGGGCTACAGTGCTGATGTCAGATAGGGTAGGTCATGTAGGGAAAATCCCTACTTGACATGATGAGGACATGCATATTTCTGCATTTAATGGCACTATGACCATTGGATAAGCATTGCTAGAGCCTCATCAGATCATCTGAGATAATGCGAGATTAAAGGCTTTGGAGATATCATTATTGAAAGTGACTAGTGTGCTCCTTTTCAGATGGTACAAACTTCAAAATTTATCAACAGGACCTGGTGAAGAAAAAGTGTAATGCTGAATGAGAAACTTGGACTGAACCTGTTTCATCAAGAAAGTAATCAGCTTGTTGACAGTTAGCTCACTTGAGGTAACCACAAATGACAACCATATCTCTTCTTAATGATTCGTAAGAGCATTAAAATATGGATGACCAAACAAATGTTGTTAAGAAAGGGTGTCAATTTTCTGAACTCTCTATATCCCTTGTGCAGGCAGGATGAAGAGCCTTCCAATCACTTATTTCTCCACTGCAGTTTCACATATAAGATGTGGATATTTTTCTTCAAGGGTATCTCGTACCAGGGGTGCTTGCCATGTTCTATTCAGGCTTTGTTACAGGGGTGGAAGGTTGCTGGAATGGGCAGAAAAGGAAGTTATTTTTGGTCTGTTATTCCCTTGGCAATTTTGTGGATGGTGTGGCTGGAAAGAAATTCAAGAGCCTTTGAGAAGAAGAGCAGTCCTGTGGAAAGAGTGGTTAATTTCACAGTTGAGGCCTTGAGGCAATATCTGTCCGTCTTTTTTTATCCCAAGGAGAACGAATTCTCATCTTCTTTTTTGGCTGTCAACATTTTTTACGATACTTGAAACTTGTGGACTTGTACAGAATTTCATTGCACAGACGCTTATATTTTGTTATACTAATTAATACATATATACCTTACCTTTTTCCAAAAAGAATGATGCATACGGGCATGCTCAATTGGCTTTTATTCCAAATAGAGCTTGGATGCTTAATATGCAAAAGTAAATAGTATTTCCTTTTGGTTGGCAATGTTAGCCTTTGTGGCTCTTTCTTTTTTGAATTTTATTATTTATTATATGAATGCACTTCAGAGTTTTCCTACAGATAAGGCTTTTCTTTTTTACCCATCTTTATTCCTGCCAAACCTCTAATCCCCACCTTTTTCTTTGAGTCAATGAAGTGATGGGAAATACTTATTTTGATAATGAGTAGCCAAGAATCTGAAATGAAAAGGAAGCAACTTACCAGGAAAGCAGAGCGAATTAACTCCTCAACATAATCAACAGTTGCACCTTTGACGAAGTCATATGAGATATTATCAACAACCAGCTTAACACCTTCCCTCTCGAAAACTCTACAACCATAAGATCAAGAGGAAACATGAAGAAACCTTCACATCATGCAATACGGTTGTTCTACAGAACAACTACCAACTACAGGGGTCACTTCAACATTAATGGATGCCTAACATAGTGACTTTGGAAAAACAAGGTATAGAAACTTTCTGTCTGTTTGCAGTGCAAAATGCATAGAGTGCAAATGGGCCATGTAAATTCTGGTTTACTTTTATTTCAATTTGACTTGTTTTGTTTGTTTGTGAGGAGTAAAATAGGAAGTAAGTCAGGAGGAAGCTGGTTCAAATTTTGCATCAGCTTTTGGGGTGCAAAGGTTGTACTGCCAATGAATGCAAATTTTGCATCAGCAACAAGATCGAACCATAGTTACAAACAGATGCAAAACTGAGCCAGGTGCTGTAACTGGTTCAGATTGGCATTGCAAACAAAGGGAGACTAAGGTTCATTTCATAATTCACATATGAAGTAAAAATTTCCAACATAATTTAGTTCATTTAAATGTGAGATAAAGAAAGTTTACTTGGGACAAACCAATTTACATGAATGTATAAATGATGCTTTACAGTACCAGATTCCATAAAGTGTATTATCCTTGTTACATGAAGATTGCAGTGGAAGTTAACTAATATCCCTGAGTAGGAGGCTAGAAGAGAACCAACCTGTCATCAGGGTTGGTTTTGTCATCAACCAAGAAGACATACTGGAATCCAGAACATCCACCTGTCTCTACACTCAACCGAAGCATTTTTCCTTCCATGGTTGCTTCTTTAGCATGCAATTCTTTCAGTCTCTGCAGTCATAACATGTGGCGATATAGGGTTTGAAGCATAACTAGTCATATAACATGAGCTCAGTAGCAAACCTATATAACAATATGAGCTCACATAATACCTTCTTCAACTGGAGTAAAACATTTGGAAAATGCAGATGAGATTTAACCCATGAAATATAGAGCAAATTAATCAACAGAATACAGCATGAAGTGTTGGAACCTTAAGACAAAAACATGTTTCAACTGTCAGATGTGGATGGATTGACAGAATTGTCGGAGATGCTGACCACAACAAAGCAAACTCATGGACACATTCTTACAGTTTATTGTATATATCAAGAGAAATTTGTAAACACTAAATATAGCATGTAAGAGTACAACTAAAAAAAGCTCACATTCAAAATATGTTGATCATGGAAAATATGCAATAAATACAAACAATACTCGAGAAATATATTGTTTCTTTTTTTCAAATTATATATGTATTATTACATCTCTAATTTATGAATATGGGTTGGGGTGGTTTGGAGATTTGGAGGAGGCCTGCCACAGTTGTATAGCACATATGCCTAGCAAAGATACTAAGAAAACAATCCTAATTAGAATATGAAGATAGTTGCGGGATAAATCTAGGCCTTCTGATGCTGTCCTCCTAAACTTAATCTTTACAAAGATTGGTTACTTACGATTCATTCCCATGTTGAGAAGAACAATAAAAAGATTACCATAGACCATGAATTTTCCCGACTACCCTATTAAACAATCTTTCTCAGTGAAATTTCATCGAATAATATACAGAACCCCAAATGCCACAACAAGTAATTGAGTTTTCCATAAATTTCCACTCAACACCTTATGTGGAATAAATAAAACCCGGACTTCTCGCTAATTCTAGACAAATTGAGACGTAAAATTCCTACGATTAGTAATTACTTCACGTGGTTGTTGTGTGAGTCGTCAAAACCGCCAATTGATATTGATTGCTTGAACAAGAACAACTAAAATCAATATGAACAAATATCCAGCTAATCTCTCATGTGTTAATATACCAAATTCGAAGGGAAATAAAAATCGTCAGAGAGAGAGAGAGAGTACTCGAATGCAATTATCCGTCATGTGGAGAGCATCTGCATCTTGAGTTGCGGAGGGAGCGCTTTCGACGGCAGAGCTCAGAAGCCTCTGGTTGTATCGAAGCCGAGCTGAGACGAAGGGCGTGAGACGGTGAAGAAGAGATCTTGACATCGCTCCCCTCAGCGCATCATAGCAACCACCTTTGCCTTCCAAGATGTTTGGCGCTAGTTCGGTGGTTTTCAAAGGAAAAATGTCATATCTCTCTCTCTCTCTCCTCCCCAGCTCCTCTCTCTCCCCTCTCTGACACACATTGATCGAACCGGTTCGATCCGGACCGCCATGGTTCGACCTGCGAGCCACCGTTAAACTCAATAATGGACGAAAATTCTGTTCTGAATATTACGCTATAATTTCCGAAAAGTTTAAACCAGGGGGAGGGAACGCGATCTCCATTTCTTCTTCCCTTTTGCTCTCTGATTCTATCTCTGCACAGCCTTTGTGAATTGTGGCTCAATTTAGGATTCATTATAAAAACCTACAATTCTTTCTTTGAATCCCCAAATTCTAATTCGTTTCCACTTTTTGGCTTTTCGCACATAATAAAGACTTGAAAACCCTAAATGCCTTGATATATGAAGCTTTTTGGGATTGAATGATTGATTTCCATTTACGTTTTGCTCCAATTATATTGGAATGGGACGGTTTCTCCAGAATTCATTTTCGGATGATTTCTGCAGACCATAACGGTCTTTTTGGACCTTGAATGGGAGACTCTTATCTGTTGTAGTGTTTGCTTAATCGACAATTTTCGATTGGTTTATATATTTGGCGAGATGGCGACGGTTTTCCAACAATGGGAGTTGGATCCTCTGTTTTCTGCAGCTGAAGTCGTGCAAGATTCTGCTGATAGGTTAGTTTCTTGTTTTATTTGTTTATTTATTTTTTTGATCAGCAAGTTTCTTGTTTTATTTCTCCTCGTCGTGCAATACGATGTCTTCATCGTTTTAATATGGTTTCTGTATTTGAGTATTTGTGGATTTCCTTACATTGAGCTTGATCCTCCTGTTCTTTTGTACTTTAACTTTCTTCTTCCTCTTCTTTTTTGATTTATTTTGAGTGAAGAAGTAATGGATTCTATTGATGAAGGTTCTTTTATCTTGTGCGTGTGAATGCGTATATATATACTCTGCATATTTCTGTTTACAAGAAGAACTGAATTTACATTAGTTGGGTTCTATTCTAGCCTATAGAAACTGAACCACTTATGAATGTGAAGATCATGAAATTTCCCATTTCCTTGACCATGATGCCAAAGTTAGAAAAAGATTAAAGAAAAAAGAAAAAGAGTAGAAATCAGGATTCAATTAATTTCTGTTGGTGCCACTTTTATGGTGGTTTGTGTAATGTTTTCCATTACTATACTAATATATTATTATCTGATAAAATCGCCTGCTTTAACATTTCTCCTTAGATGATGATTTCTGGGTATCTGGAAAATTGAAAATTATTTAAATGTTGGTTTTCTGGTTTTGTCATTATGTTTTCTTTAGGATGGAATCAATTTTCCGTATGCTCTTGCACGAGGAAAGTCTTGTTCATGGAGAATCTTCTGACCCAAAGCTCCTCAATTCAATAGAATATCATAGGCGTGATCTTTTAACTGCTCTAGGGACAACCAAATGGCAGGTACTTAATGATATTAGTTTCCATTTTTCGTTTCACGTGATTTTATTATTAACAAAACAATCTAAATCTAACTTATCATGCTTATCTTCTAATTAGTTGGAAGATTTTGAGCGGGCAGTTAATCTATCAGATTTACCAGATAATTCACGAGCAAGGGCAGATGTGGTTTCTAGACATAAACAATTTGTTAGAGCCATTAGAGAACAAATTATTCATGTGGAGAAAAGCTTAGCAGAGTCACCAATGGAACATTCAAAGAAAAATACCCAATGGGTTAACTTAAATGAACAAGACAGAGATGGATTGACATTATTTCTTTCTGGGGGAAGTACTATGGACCGGCACACCCACTATGGCTCAGATAATAGTAGCATTATGAGAAGGTTTCTTGATCCAACATCAGCTTCTAGATATGATTGCAAAACTGATGAGATTGTTGAGCTCAAAACTGAAGAAGTTGAGGACTCAAAGATGAATGGGATCATCCATGAAGACCCTGATTTGGGTTCCTTCAAGGAGAATAATAATTTCAGAAAAGTTGGTTCTCATTCTGCAATTAGGATTTGGGATTGGGAAGATGCTATCCCAAGTGCTAAGAATTTCTTTTGCAAGAACAAGTTGAGAGGATCCCGCAATGGACTAAATGCTTTGGGATCCATGGGCAACTTTTGGTCTTCATGTAGGACTAAAATGGATAGGAGTTTCATGAAGAGGCAGAAAGATGGAGAAGTGGGAAGAGAATTTGATAAAAGGCCTTCTTCATATCTTGACATTTCTGAAACTGGGCAGGTAAGTTAACATCATTTTCTTTCTCATGCCGTTAGCTTGGACCCTACACCTGTACTTTTTTAACTCATTTAAGGAACTATTGGTATCTCTCAGATCAACAAGGATTATTCACCTCTAGTTAGGGCGTATAACTGTGGCTGGTTTGGCTAGGTTAAGTTGAATACTTGACACAGCTCATCCCCAGTGGTGGATAAGGCTTGAATGATATCATACATAATCATGAAAGTTTTAAGACTTAACATCATAAATTTTGAGTCTACTTCTGCTGCAATGATGATACAGCAATCCAATCAAAACATAGTAGCATTGCCTATTTTCACGAGAATTTTAAACTTTTACATAAAAGTTTGGAAATATGAGTGACGAAAATAATTTTGATTGAAACTTTTTAGCCTTCATGTTTGGTTCATGGAACCCATAAACTATGTGCTCTAATCTTAATGGCACACAGATCTCTTGCTCTCTCCCTCCCTCCCAAATTTCCTGCAGATGTGATAGTTGAAATGAAATTCCATCCAAATAGGAAGAAATGATTCATAAAATTTCATTCTACTTTCTTGGACAAATAATGAAAAATTGCAATTAATTCAATGGTTGTAACTGCAAAAATGTCACAGAATTTTCCATCAAATAGGTAGGTCACAATATCTTGGCACCTAATAGGTCTATAAATCTACTATTAGTAAATAATAAGTAAATAAATATAGGGCCACCAATCTTTCACAATGTGCAAGGAAATTTTTCCTTTTATTTTTAGACAATTTTTTTTTCTTTTTAGTCTGTTGAATATTTAATTTTTCATGCAATATTTAAAAATCACCGTTCATACAATTTGAACTGGACTATCAAATTACTGGGTTTTAAAACATTGGCTCCAGGCTTATTATATCCTCAATGGATAACAGCACAATATGGCCAATTAATTCACTGATCTAGATTGTTTAATCTGTGGGAATGAGACAAAACTCCAATTTATAAACACTCATAACAAACGAAAAATATAATAAGTAATTGTGGAAGTGATCTCTGTGATTCTGGATTTTGTGAACTCGACTATTTCATATAAATTATTGACTTTTTAAGCTTTTGTGTTGTAATTTAACCTGATAGATTAATTGATCTGTGGCTGTATTTCATTTTTACAGGGTCGACATACCCGAGTGGGGTTGGTAAATGGGTTTAGAAGTTCTGGGAGATTGTATTCTGAGGTATTAAGAAATGCCATGCAGTCATGCAGCTGCTTTGGGAATTGTAGAGGGAGATTTCAAAGATTTCAGTATAGCAAAATTGCTCAGCTTTCCAGACGGCTAATACCAGTGATATTTGTTACACTTGTTGTTTTAGGTAAGATCATGGTTGTATTGTTATTGTTTTTATCTCTTCCCCTCTATGTAAGCTAGTTTGGATTAACTTGCCAAGATTTATTTAGCTCATAGCCACCTTCATGTCCAAGTGAGCCTTCTTTGCATGTGGTAGATATGTAGGGAATTTGTAAGTATACACAATTGTTAAAAGCTGATAGTTTTTCTTTTTTGATTTTTCTTAAAATGGTAAAATCCATATTGAGGAAAAGCTTGGTGATGAATCATGAAGAATAATGAGAACCATATCCATCTCTATCTTGTTTTTGGCACAAATAGTCATGCAACTATTTAACAGAAACAGAAAGATTCACTTTTCCAGTAGTTTTTTTAATCAGTAACAGAATATTTCACTGAGAGAAAGCCAAACTGCTCTAAAAAAGCAAGCAGTAGGCCAGAACTAGTACAATATAAACATCAGAACACTTAACCAGATGTCTCACAAACCAAGAACGCAAAAATAGAAAATAACTTTACAAAGAGCAGCTTACAAATATTTATCAAAAAAAAAAAGAGCAGCTTACAAATTACAGATTACCATTCAAAACCTTCTCTGTTTTCCAATAGAAATTTTGGCCATGCATATGCTTTTCCAATATATAAGATCCTTCCAAATACATTTTGCATACGTTGCTTTTTTATACAAGATCTTATGTGTACTTACAACTATCTAAAAGTTCTAAATTTGTAATCCAAATTAATTTATTTGGACCATGTACCTTCCAAGTACTGCATAAATGGCTGGTTGGATCTTCCATGGTTACAAACTGCACAATTGTGAACTAGAAAATGATGGTCATGAAAACTGAGTTGCAGAACCCAAACAACACATATGTAGGCAATGTGAGTGTGCATTTGCTCTCTTTGCATTACGAGCTAAAAAAGAATTAAAATGACAATGGACCCTGCTCCAAAAATGGTTGGGTGGGTATGGGTATAGAGGATAGTATGGGTGAGAGTGACAATACCCCCTCCCTGGCTGGTGGTGCACTTTTTTTTTTTCCTTCTGGTTGTGGTATTAATTTTCTTGTGCCACCCTGCTGACCAGAGGAGACCAATTGTGATCTCCATACAGTTAATTGAGTAGATAAATTGAAGTGTTGAACTCATATAGCAAGTCAACTACAATCTCACTTTTCTGTTCTCTGTGCAGGTATCCTGGCTTTTCAGGCTGCTTGAAGCAGTCTTATTTACATACAAGAGTTCCAGTATATTCATGGTATTGGCAAATTAATTTTTGTGTATAACCTCCATTATCTCAAAAGGGTGTTGTTCTCTTTGATTCTCTGCCACCTCTTGGCACCGATTTTAAAATTTATGTAAGTAAAGAATTGGCTTGTTGTGTGTTGTCTATGCATGGAACCATTTTCACTTGTTTCTGTAATATCAGAGAGCAGGGTTAATGAATGAAGATGGTTTTGAAGCCCAGGTTCTCTATTATCACTTATATGAGCCCAATTTTGAAATAGGTTAAAAGGAGTTGTTAAACGCCTTCTGTGGAGTGATCTAGTTGTTAGGGTCTGGTACTAAGAGCGGAAACTTGTTGGAAGGCAGTGGACATAAAGAATCAACCAGCTGTTTCAGCAGTTAGGGGAGTTATTATGGCACATCCCATTTTTTATGAACCGGGTACATACTTGGTGAAGAGAGAAAAAGAAACCACAGTTGTCTTATTACAGAGGTCAAAACATGGGGATGTTTTTTCTTTCAAAGCATGTACTCTTATAGTAATGATTAGGGGTGTACTCTCTTATAAAAAATGGAATATTCTTCCCAAATCAACTATTCTGTTTTTTTTTTCATCAGACAGTTCAGTTCATCACAAGTCTATGAAGTATGAACCATCCAAACAAGTGTAACAGATAGGACCACTGCAATCACCCAAGTTCTGTTAATATACCAAGAAATGTTTAGTGCAGCACTTCGATCATCCAATTGGAATTATCCGACCCTTCAATGATATGGTGAAATGTAACACCCCCTTACAGTGGCTTACCAGCAATTAGATCAGAACCCGCCACCATGTGTGGAGATTAATTGGAAAAGAAGCCTTGTGTTTTCTCCAATGAACAAGCTACAATTAGGGGAAGGTTCTTGTAAGTGCTTATCAGAAAATGTTACTACTTCTGCATCTCCCGAGAAGGTTCTTGTGTTGCTTCATTTGGTGGGCCGTTTGAGGTTTAGCAGTATAATAATATAATTAATGCAATGAATAGTAATGTTTTGTATTGGAATAGTGGAAATGGCTATTGTCCACGTGGGAGATATTGTGCCATGATCCAGTACTTTGGTTTGTCAGTGACCCATCACTGTACTCTCCATTTTTATCGACTGGGTTTACCAGTTTGATTGTTACAAGCATATTTGGGTATCAGTTGTGCCTGAGTTTCAAATGCAACTTGGTTTTTCATTTGTCTGAATACATTTTGAGACTATTGAAGTATCCTAAAGCAGGTTTTCCGAGTTTGTCCCAGCCTAAGGGAGAATCCACAGTTACCATTGAGATTGGGTTGACTCACCAATGATTTATTCTTTGGACTATCCATGGAGTCACCTTCTGATTTGGCGTTCAACTCCCACTGAATAGGAAGAAATTAAAACACGGGCTTCCTTGTAACAGTGGCCAAGGTTTTCACAAGAATAAGAGTATAAATAGAGTTTGGCAGTTTTGCCAAGTTCCATGAAATTCCTTTAGGAACATTCCCTTGATTTCGTGATTTTGCTGAACAAGTATTCAGATGCCTTCCATTTGATTCTTAAAGAAGTGGTTTGGTCACTTTGTTGCAAGAGGTTAAGGTTACAGTGAGTTTATTAAAATGTCGATTCACATTGAGATGCTTTTCTAATCCTTTGGTCTTTGATCAGGATGATCAATCGTTTTATTAAAATTTGAAGTTTGTTGGGTGTTGCCAAAAGCCCAGGGTTTTGCTTCAGAGTTTCTAAATCTTATCTGAGATATGGTGAATAACAAGGTAAACACCAAAGGGAGTTCCTGTTAGTAGTATTCGACTTGGTAATTTATCAAGGGAAAAAGCGTTCTACTTTATCTAGCTCAAAGTAAGTTCTATTCTAATCCAGTTAAGGCTCGAGTTCAATTAGATAATTAGGCTCGTTTTGAGTTCAAACCTTATGGTAAGTTAAATTAAATATTCGAACTTGATTTTTACCAATAAAATTTTGGCTCAAAAACTAATATTTTTATATTCTATAATATAAAATATAAGAATATAATAATTTTATATTGTAAAATTAATACATATTTTGTATTATAATACATAAAAATCCATTTTATATTATATATATATATTTATAAAATATAAAAATATAAATTACAGATAAGTACCCTGTACTATGGATAGGTACCCCAAATTTTCAGAAATATACACTTTGGGTCAACTGGTTAGTATTCCATCAGCTAAACATTTTATAATATCAAAATTACCTTTCTTGTGTATTTTTGGACCATTTTGCCCTTCTAATGTATAAACCCCAATTTATAAACCCTTACTCCCTTTTTTTTTCATTCTTAGGCTTCAACTACAGCAAAAGTGGATGATGAATCACTAAAACAGAAAAAGGGTTTCATTCTCAGGTGTGAGAATGAAAATAAAAATAGGAACAGATCAGCGTTCAATGAGGCAAATATCATACATCTGTTTTGAACATCACAAACAAGTAAATCAGCTATGACTAAAGAAACAATCCTAAACTAAGCCTCAAAATTGACCAATCCTCACATTCAATGGAGCTTACTCCTCATAGAAGGGAAAGCTAAAACAGGACAAAATGAGCGGCAAACTACTGATGAAATCAGCGGGGAAGAAACTGATTCATAGATAAGACTTAAAAGAAAACAACGACAAAAAATGGTTGGTTCTTTGAGCAACTAACGAATCTAGAATATATCAGTATGGCAATCCCAACCCAGAAAAAAAAATGATGTCGAGATTAGGTTAGCGTCAAAAGTTTCGACGGAATTGGTGCAGCGGGAGCCTCACCACCAGTTCCGCTTACTACCCCATTCGGATCCCGGCTACTCCATGGCAAAATGCAGGGGAATCAAATTGGAAAAACATAAAAGTGAAAGAAGAAAGAAAAACGGAATGTAGGGAATGATAATAACGTTTACTTGGTCATATTTCGGCCTAAGATTGATTATTGCAACTAGACCTGTTCATGGGCCAGGACGGGCCGGGCTCGAGCAAGGCTTTTATTCTTCATAAACAAGATTTTGTTAGGCCCGAGCCTGAGCCCGGCCCTAATAAAAAGCCCAAAGCCTGGGCCCGAGCCCGAAGCCCGATTTATCAAAAAGATAGATCGGTGCTTGTGTCTATGTTCACCGCCATGCGACGGTGCCTATGTTTGTGTCTGTGTTCGTCGCCGACCAGACAATAAGAGAGGAATAGAACAAAAGGGCAAAGAGAAAGGACTCGTTGTCGATGCCTGTGTTCGTCGGTGCCTGAGTTCACGTTTGATAAATGAAATGAGCTGAGATTCTGAGAGTGAGAAGGAGAAATGAGAAGAGGAACAACTGAATAATGAAGAGAGAGAGAGAAAACTCACAGYTGGTGCCTGAGTTTGCGTAACTCGCATATGATAAATGAGCTGTTGAGATCGATTTTGAGAGAGAAGGAGAAGTGAGAAGAGGAACGAGAGAGAGAGAGAGAGAGACCAGTCACCGTTGGAGTTCACTGGTTGCACCGATTTTGTCTTCTTGAGAATGTTTGACTATGTGAGGTAGTGACTGAAAAGGGAGTTTGTTCGGCTAAGAAAAAGAGATGAGTGATAAGAGAGGGGTTGAGAAGAGAGRGATTAATATTTAGGGTTAGGGTTTAACTTATACAAAAGTCGGGCCGGGCCGGGCTTTTTTAACAAATCCCGAGCCCAGCCCGTAAAATAGTCAGGCTCGAGCTTTTAGGCCCAAAGTCAAGCCCGCGGGCTAAAATACATGCTCAAACCCGTCTGGGGGCCGGCCCGGCCCGGCCCGTCAGGCTACCCCGCCCATGAACAGGTCTAATTGCAATAAGGGAACCAAGAATTTTTTTTCCATTTAGATTCCAATACCGAAGGTGAAACAAGCTTGCAACCGAGAGACTGATGAGAAAATTCACTTGTTCGAAGCGCAAATCTCTCCAGATTTTTTAGATTTTAATTTTTCTTCCCTCTCCCCTTTCTCTTCTGGGAAATGTGAATCACAACGAGGCCGTTTTAGTTGAAAAAACTTCCATAAAATGCACTATGGGTCTTTCCTTCGTTGAACTAGTGAGAAATGATTAGGGTCCATAGTTTAAAAATGATATGACATTAAGGTGGTGTTCGGTAGTGTTTAAATATCGTGGACGGGATCGGTCCTGTTTACAGTAAGATATGATGTTTTGCTACGTGTTGATGGTCCTCATCCACAAAATAGCGTGGACAGGAATGGCCACACCCCAATTTATTGTCCATAGTATTTTCTCATGGATGGTTCACACTATGGTGTGGACAATTTGTGGGAATGTTTCAGTGTAACTCAGTTGCGTTACATTGGTCAAATTATTCTCATTTTATTTAATCTTTTAATAATTTTTAAATTTTTAAATTTTAAGATTTTATCAATAAAATAATAAATTTTAATGTTAATTCTAGCACAAGTCTGACGGTTCTCCTTCTCAACTCTTTTTTTTCATTATTTAAATATTAAATTTCTTATTTTTTTATTAATAAAATAATATTTTTAATATTTAAAATAAAATAATACTTTTTTATTTTTTTAATTATTTAAAAATGCAATTGTTGTCTACATATTGATGCCTTTTTTTCAATTTATTTACCATACAAAATGCAAAAGTTAGACATTTATGATCGATTATGTAGATCTCCCATAAAATGTATATGAGATACATGGAATCAAAAAGTGTGGTGTAGACTGATCCACACCACACCTACAGAATGCCACTGTGGGTGTGGATTGGTCCAACCCACACAATCTATCCACAGTTGTGGACTGTAGTGTGGTATGGATTGGTCCCTACCACATGGTGTGGTGTGAACCAGTCCATACCCACCAATTTATCATTCACACTATAAAACACCCCCATGATGGAATGGCAGAACTAGATTCATGCATTGATCCCATGTAGTTTGGACAAGGTTTAGATGATGATGATACCGTTTTGGAGGTTAAACTGATACTTTTATTGTTAAGGGTGTTTTGATAAAGTACCTATTTTTGTTTTAATTTTGTCTCTTCACTTAACAAATCCTATATGATTTTATGGTCAAAGGAGTTATAAATAAAATATTAAATAAAAACTACAAACAACACAAGTATTTTACTATAACTCTAAGGCACCATTCATTTTTCGGTAAATCATTTATTTGGGTAAATACACTTAAGTAAGTGTATTTACCCATGTTCTTTTATTTCCCATGTAAATAAGGCAATGACCATTTTAGCCATAAAAGTTCAATATTAAAAGGGGCATTTTTTGTCCCATTCAAGTGTTGACAACTTTCCCCTAGGTGGGAAAGTTATTTACACAACCAGGAGATGGGTATCAACTTTCCCCTGGGTAAGTGATACCTAGGTAAATAAACTTTCCCTGGTCTCCACATAAATTTGAAAAAATAACATGAAATTCTTGGTCAATAGGAATCAAAATCCCATTAACCAACTTTCTCCCCTCTTAAAATAAAAAAAAGAACACCCTCTAAGGAAGATATAAATAATTTACCCTTGATTGAATTGATGTTTAAAATTTAGGGCTGTTGTCTTTATCAAATAGGAAATGGGCATGCATTCTGGCACATGGCTGGTTAATTATTGTAGCTTCACTTTTGAAGTATTTTATTGCAAACAATTTTCCATTCTTTTTGGTAAATGGAATTATTATCCATTCAAGGATCACATACACATACAGTTTGGGTGTTCCCATACATATAGCACATGGGTTGTTTAAATGTTTGGGCCTTTTTGGGCCCTTGGGAGCTACTTGATTACAAATCGTTTTCCAACCATTTTCTAGTAAGGACTTACTATCCATCACATAATTGGTGCATGAGAACTCTTTTACATATAGCCATGCTGAAATAGATTAATGATTCTAGAGGGCAGTATTGCTACAGATTTTACCAATTCGATCGATTTTTTTGATTGAATCGGTTTGGATTAAGATCGATTAAAAATTCGATCGAATTCAAATCACCCCTTATCTGATCTTATATATAATTCATAAATATGTTTATATTATATTTTTGTAATTTTTATATTATTTATTTATTTTTTATAAAAAACATATATAAGACAAAAATAATTGGAAAAAATAATTTTCTTTACATAAACTGTTACATTTTTCCTTTTAAAAATTTATTAAAATTTTCAGAAATTAAATTGAATTAGATCAACGATTGTGAGATCATATCGGATATTTGGAATCCGATTCTATTTGCTTGCATCCCTATGGGGTTAGGCTAGCGTCACTTCTTCCTAACTTAACTCGGTCCCATCAGCTAGGGATGCAAACGGATATTTGAATCCGATCCGACATTTTTCAAGGCAGACCCGACCCGATCCGATCCAGAGATCCAATTGGATTTGATAAGACTCGATTTGAATTCAAATCCTATCGGTAAGTTAGATCTTTGAATTTAATCCGATCCGACTTGTTTCTTTTAAAAATTAATAAATTATTAAAAGAAAAATAAAATATATTAATTTAAATAAAATAAAAAATGTAAGCATTTTTAATTATTTTTATTGTGTATATACATGTTTTTATAAAAAATAAATAATATAACAAATTTATAAAAATGTAATATAAAAAATATATTTATAAATAAATAAATAATATATATATATATTGTATTTATAAATATATAATATATCAGATGGGATTTTCTCAGATATTCATCGCCCGTGCTAAGTGCGAATGCCCCTCACTAATTTTTTAATTATTTTTTTGAGCATATACATGTTTTTATAAAAATAAATAATATAACAAATTTATAAAAATGTAATATAAAAGATATATTTGTAAATAAATAAATAATATATATGTATTATATTTATAAATATATAATATATCGGATGGGATTTTCTTAGATCGAATAGGGGAAGGAGGGTTATCCGAATCCGACCCGAATAACCGAACATGGGTCATCCAAGTTAGACCAAATAGAATCGGATCATGATGCGATCCATTTGCACCCCTGCCATCGGCAGTGAGCCAGTGACACCCCTCGAACCGAGTTTGGCGCCTTATTAAGCGCACCCCCGCAGACGCCTCACATACACATCTCACCATTGGGATCATCTACCGTATTGGGTAAATGTTCCCGATGCACGGTTGGATTGTAGCATGGGGCGCGCATGCGAAAGCGTCATTTTCACAAAGATAGTGGCATCGTACGTAATTAAGGAGTTTATTTAAAGAAAACGAAAATCACCAAAGGGGCTGTTTGTGGATTGGCCGATTTGGGCTCTGTTGTCCCTTTTCTCTTCGTCGGCCTCACATGAGCGTGAAAGGGCATTTCTCTTTCACTCTCTCTACTTTTTCCTCTATAAATACTCATTTTCATACCTAACTCTCCTGATTCCCGGCCTTCTTTCTCTTTCTCGGATACTGCGCTTAGCTCAAGAGGAATAGAGGATTACGAAGAAGAGAAAGAAAAGCTAAGAATCGCTCTTTCTCGTAAGATCTCCTTTCTTCTGTTACTGTTTGTTTATTGTAATCACTCGAACCTTTCTCTACTTGTTCTGTGTCAGATGTTTGTTTTTCTTGTTAATGGCGTAGGAGCTAGCTGTTTAGGTTTTAGAGCCTCAGATGCTTAACTTGGTAAATGAAGTGTTTGTGTTTGCGTTTCTGTTTGGTATCTGATCCTTTTTTTTGTTTATTATGGACGGAATATATTTATTTTGTTCTGATAGCGTTGGATGTTTCCCAAAAATCATGGAAACTGTAGCTTTTGGAACGTGAAATCCTAAACCCTGTACCTTCAGCAGGAATATGTTGATTTGCCATGAAGGGAGAGATTATCTTCGTTGTTTAAATCGGTACAAAGAAAAGATTAGTCTTTGATCTATTTTTTTTTTTCTTTACATGAATCTTTGAAATGATTTCCTGCCTTTTTCCTGTAATCCAGGTCTATCTTTTATTTCCTTTTATTTTTTTTTCAACTTTTGGCAAGTCAGAGGTGGTGGCATAGTTTTCTATATATTGTTGTTCTGGACTTGATGTGTAATTCTGCATTTAAAAATTTCTTTCAACGAATCTACCTTGACTTTAGGGTATCGGACGACTGTATGGTTGTTCAGGGGTCACAATCATTTGCATCTGATTTGTTGGGAGTTATTCTAGCCGCTGGAAATGGATTCTTTTAGTCTAGACCGTACTTGTTTTATTATCAGAGAAGATCGTATCTACCGCTGAAGATTCTCTAGATTCCTTACTACCACCACCTCCTTTTCCAATACGACTCTTCTCCTAAACATCATTTCCACTTAGGCTGACGTTTTCTTTGGCAGATTGGAAACTTTTCTGCAACTTCTGTGTTGAAACAAAGGAGCTTTAACAGTTTAAATATCGACGTTTACAAGTTAAAATTAAGGTGTTAATAAATTTGAATTGTTGTAGGTCTGCAGTTCAAATCAGAATTCCGAGGTGGAGTGCAGTCTAAAAATCCCAGGCGGTGATCTTGAACACTAGAATAGAAAAGAAAAAAAAAAAGGTTCTGTCTAGAAGTACAAGCAAAAATGGTCTTTATATGATTTGGCATGTAGATATCCTGGTCTTTTAAGTCGTTGTATTTGGATTTACTCCTTTCTTCTTCCCTATTTTGGTTTTATTTGATTCTCATTATGTTCTATCAATTCCACAATGAATATACCTGTGATATCTTTAATTCAGTGCCACATCTCTCTTTTTCTTCACTTCATTGTTTTGGATGGTCTTCTTTGTTCTTTTATATTTATCCTTTGTTTTCATCATTTATGGTGTTTTTACCTATGGCTGGATGAGCATGGACAAATAATCCTCATAAAAGTAATTCAGGACTACATTGCAGAAGAATAATTACGATATTGTTATACATTGACGTACCCTTGAACCAAAACCTTACAATTAGAACGCTAATTTAACTGCAGCGAAATGTGTGTCTATGTATCCTTTGGATAAAAAGTTGAGTTCTTTGATTAACCTATACGTTTAGAGATATTATCTTTCCAGCTTCTCTTGTGTTTTTTTCCAAACCTGTAGTTGGATCCAAAAAATACAGGCACAGATGATTGTCAGTCTGAGAGGGGCCACCTTGTGCAAAACAATGCCAAAGGTTAGGTCTGTATCCCAGTCCAGTACTACTCCCAAGGCCCTAGATGGCTGGGACCAACATTAGGTAATGGCTATTCAAGCAGATGATTATTAGTCTTATTGGTTGACGATAAAATAATGCTTTGGAAAGATTGAAGGTTTGTTTAAATTTGATTCTTTTCCCCTTGCTTTTACTCAAACAAACCTGAATTTATTTACTTGGCTTGAACAAGCAGGACTAGCTCTGCTGAAGGTGTTGTGGTAATTCTGGAGATTGCATTTCTTAGATATCCCCATTGGTTTTCTGTTCTTTTTCCATTTTTTTTTGAGTAATCTGAAGGATGTTCTTTGGAAACAGTATGAATTGGATATCCTAGAATACACTGAGATTTATTTTGATGTTTTAGATACATTATGTTTTTCCCCTTATTTTTCTAGTTTTCCAGTTATCGTAGGTTCTTGAAATTTATTATTTGTGTGTTTCTCACACTAGTTTTTTTTGGAATATCCATATGGGCATTCGTCCTAGATGTAAATGTTTGGAATTGTGGTTCAGGTACTGTGCTGCATTACTTTTTTAATTGTTATCGTACTACAAAACCTTAAGAGCGCCTGTTAAGCGTTTATTGCTTATTAACAATTTTAGCTTGTATCCACATGGAATTACCTGTTCTGTTGATGGTGCATATAGCATTTGGGCTTCCAAAGCTTTTACATCTGGTAATATCTTTGTTTGGCTAGGCCTGAGATATGAAGGCCTCGTAAGGAGTGCCATGTCCCAATCCATTCATGTATATATATGGCATATAGGGGCTAAAATGTATGTGACATGGTTTCATGGGTGGTCCAATAGTTTGTCTCTATGTAGTTTACTTAGTTACATACTTGCATATAAATACAGTAAGGGGAAATAAGGAAAAGTTGGACATTGAAAATGGTGGAAACCATATTGAGAAGGTGGGGGAAAATCGAGAAGGAAGCACAGAACAATCTAATGCAGAAGTGTACAAGAGAAGAAACGCTTATAGAACAAAAACCAAATTAAGTGGCATGGCAAGAATTTGGTGGAAGAAGCTCCTGAAGATGTCATTTTTCATGAAACATACAACATTGACAGGAGGATTGAGATTGACGGTAGTAGAAAAGAAAGCAGCAGTTCGTGAAGGGTTAGGATTTTTTCCTAAATGGGGAAGATTTTACTAGGAGGGCATTTGAAGAATTGGAAAAAAACAGGACGGTGGGTGCCTGTAACAGAATACAAGATCAGGAGTGTACCGGTTGCAGGGGAGATCAGTCACTGGAGATTGGGGTTGCAGGAGGGAGTAGATAAGATGAGTAATAGACACAAACTTACAAGTTCTCACTCATGTTCCCTCACTCTTCCTTTGCCCTTTCAAAATATCTCATCTTTTTTTTTTTTAAATTAATTGAAAACTTTCCTGTGTGAAATCCATCGGAAAAATTCCTGTCTGAAATCCTTTCTCTTCGTAGAATCCCACCAGAGCCTATATGTCAATGAAAGGAAAGAAATTAAAAATAAAAAATCAAATCAGACAGAACAATTTAACATTCACATCATAATTAGTCTTCATGGAAAATATATCATAATTATTTGGGAGAGCACGTTTACCGGAATACACCATTTCTAGGTTGAAAAATGGAGCTTCGAGTGAAGAGCAAAGAGCCACTCGCTTGCTTCTTCTCATATAGCTCCGAACATCAAATTTTGCCACGTTTTTAGTAGAGAGAAATGGATATTTTGGTTCCGTATCTTCATCTACTGTAATTTGGCATATATCAGCTAGATACTACTATATAAATCCATGGTACGAGATACGAATGCATGCCCAGCAGGCACTAAACCATTCAATGATATGCACTGCCTAAGGATATCTTATACTGGAAACTGAGCCCGTTCTGATTGCAATGATGGTATTCAATGAAAGGGTGAAATCAACAAATTATGCATCCAACCTGCAAATGTACGAGTTGTTCCCTGGTTCCTTGTCAATTAATTAGATGCAAATTATGCCTCCAACCTGCCGAGGTTTGTTTACTGTTTCACATTCAGTAGATAATTGCTCATTGGTCATCCAAGTAGTACTCTCTGAGATCTTTGGATGTGGGTAGCATGAAGTATTCATTAATGAACCAAATTTTGCTGTTTGGGGTGCTTGAATACAGGTACAAACATGTCGACTGTGAGCCTCCCCTCTACTTGCATGTTCACAAGTGCAACCCAGAGAAGCGCTGGAACCTTAATCAAGAGTCGATCTTCTTTGGGTTCTCTGAAGAGTGCTTCTAAATTGTTTGGTCTGAAGGCTTCCTCTGGCTTTAGAGTGTCTGCAATGGCAGTGTACAAGGTGAAGCTGGTTGGGCCAAATGGAGAAGAACATGTGATTGATGCTCCAGATGATACTTATATCCTTGATTCAGCTGAGAGTGCAGGCGTGGAGTTGCCCTACTCGTGCAGAGCTGGGGCATGCTCAACCTGCGCTGGACAGATGGTGTCAGGTTCAGTTGACCAGTCGGACGGATCCTTCCTTGATGACAAGCAGATGGAGAATGGGTATGTGCTAACATGTGTCTCATATCCAACAGCAGACTGTGTGATTCATACACACAAGGAAGGCGATCTCTACTGAGTCATGATGCTTCATCTTGTCTTTGATTACGAGAAACCAAGGGATTGTAGGCGAAACTTCTTTAGTGTATTGGCATTTGGCAATAAATGTTAAAATTGCATGTGATTTTGATTTCAGATTGGGTAATATTTTTGGTTGGTTGGCAATTTAAAATTGCATGCACATGAAAGATTGGGCAACGGATTGGTTTTGGCTGTAATCACTGCAACAGATTTGTTTCTTTGTTTTTTTTTTTTTTTCGATAATTCCAATTCATGTTGTTTGGGAAGAGCATTCTTTCCCAGGTCAGGGTCTGGGAGTATTGGAGGAGCGTTGGGTTTGTTTATAGGATTTTGCTAAGTATTTCTTGATCTGTGGCTTTTAGAATTTTGGTTTGTTTTGCATGCTTTCAATGTGTAGTCCTCGCGCATGGCTGCAGTCCCGGTGTTACGGTGTACTCGTTCATAATCTTGAGAATCATCCACAAAGGATTCATGGGCATAAGAGTAGGACGCTGACCTTGGATTCTATTCTGGGTTCATTCTGTGGTCAGAATTTCAGCCTCGTTAGTCTTACAACAAAATTAACAAATTGGACTGACTAGAGTCTAGACTAGCCATATCAGTCTTGACTTGAGAGTTTCGAAGAAAGAGGCTACGTTTGGAGTGATTACACCTCAATGATCACGCATATAGACCGTCTCTACTGTAGTCAGACGTGGCCGAGGGCTGAAGCAAGAGTTGCCAGGAGACGCAAACATCATGGGGAAGGCGTGAGAATGAAAAAAACTGTTTTTTCGAACCGACTCTATTCTCTTGATCAGTGATTTCACTTGCAATGAGTAACACTTTCCATGGACGACATGGCAATCTTGGGCGCTGGGAGGCACGGACGTTACAATCCCCCACAATTTGCGTTTCATTCACTTGCAATGAGTAGCTTTTTCTTCCTTGATGAAGTAAGCTATGTTTGGTTCCCTGGGTGTTATTAGAAAAAAACCGCAGCATTAGTGTCAAATAAGTGTTGGTGGTGTTTATTGTGCATGAAACCACTGTTTAATTTCAACATTTATCAAATAAATACTAAAAAATATCAATGTTTGGATTTATGTGCATGAGACATTTGGGGAACGTCAAATTCTTGTTTCCTCCAATTGCCTGTTTCTTGAAATTAAATGCTTATTGTGACTCATTATATTCCACATATCCACACATTTGTCAATATTTTAAACGTTGCCTTATGTTTTTACACTATAGTTGGCTTGCATCTATTAGCACCCCAGCCTCATTATGGCTCTTTATCTTTTTGCCGATGTGGTAATTGAGAGTCTGTCCTCACTTTACTAGGGGTAAGAATGACATGTACTTCTCATAATATATAAGTTATATAAAAAGGAATAAGTTTTAAGCTCAATTATTAAGAAAGAAAAGGAAATTATGTTTTCTACTATTTTATATGTAAAGAGTTAAAAATATATAAAAGCTTTGGTGAATCACTATTACTTAATTTTTTCCTTAAAAATATATTTTTAAACAGTAACCCGTGCATCACACAGGTCACCACTAGCATATATATATATATATATATATATAGAAAGAGGGGAATGTGGAGGCCAAGGGTCTCTCCCCTTCTCTCTTTCACACACGTGAAATATTAAAAGCTCTCTTAAGTCTTAATTTTTTTCTATTAAAATCTACTATTATTCTTCTATAATAAAATCATTCTTAATCTCCCACTCTCTCTTCAATAATCAATTTTTGTAACATCTCCCCTTCCCTCATTAAATCCTTTATTTCCTATTAAATATCTTTTGAACTCTGTTGACCTTCTCTAATAAAACATGGTATAAATTGGATGAATTGGGTGGGGTTAAGGGCCACCTGACCTTGGCCTGGAACCAAACTGATGTTAAAATCTAAATTTTCCAATCCAAACCTATCCAAATTTTTATTTAACCCCATGGGTTTGCTTGCTAGCTAACTAGTATTACAGGAGGGAAGCCAAATCGACCTTTCACACCATTCGATCATCCCTCGATGGAGAATTGGGAAACATTTGAAAACCAATTTCATTTGTGGGTTTAGATTTAGGAATGCTACAAGCATAACCAAGCTTGGATGGAGAATTTTAATGGAGGAAGAAAATTTTTAGGTTAAGCTAATTTGTCACTTAGGCTGCTGCGTTTGGAAACAATGCAAATGGAGTGTAAATCCCGGTTCAGGGTAAATATGCACTCTGGTTCACTTTTGCTTGTGTTTGGCAACATTACATTTATGCATTGACAAATGACAGACCAATGCATATTTACATTGATAATAAGATGTAAAAGTACATCAATAAAAAAGAAGTAAATTTGCATTCAAGTGGGTTTTTGATTAAAAAAAAAAAAACATATGCTTGATTGGAATTCATGTTTGCATCTATTACAGCTAAAAATCTGTTTGGTAAGAAAGTAAATTTGTCAGTGCAAAATTAACCCAATTTTACAATTTATATGAACTATTTTACGCTACATATTTGTATTGTTTCCAAAAGCAGCAGTAAGTGTTCATAGAAACATTTTAACTGTAAAAAAGGAGATAAGTCCTCAAAATAAGGAATGCCAAATTCAGCCTAATACTTGAAAGAGAACTTCTAAGGTTGTGTTTGATATGGCTTAAATGGCATCTAAACGGTGTGTCTGAATGTAATATTCAGATCGGAAACGTTCAGTCATTGGCATATCATGGAATGCGGCCAAACACATTTTAGATGTTGGTCAATGATTGAAATGCCCATAATAATTTCAAAAATGACTTGCTACTCGTCGTCCCCCCTATATACCTTCTTTCTCCGTTTGACCATTATTCTTCCTACACTGTTATCCATTGGTACTCTTTTTTTTTTTTTTTTAATTTTCTGCAACGATTTAATTTGTTTTTATTATTTTAAATGTCATTTTAATGCTTTATATGCTTTTATTATTATTTTATTAATTTATTAAAATTTTGGATGAAAATAATCTATTTTTAGAAGTAAAATAGTAACTTTCACAATTTCAAACGTTGGAGAATTGCTCCAACCCAAACAATCTTATTTTTTTATTTATTTTTTTCAGAGCAACTGAAAAAAAAAATCATTTCTGCCTTCCTTTTCGACTTTAGAGTTTAATAATAGCTTCTTAACTTTTCAGACATCATACTTAATAAATTCCATCTGAGCCCAAAAATGAAGTCTTCATTTGCTGGAGGTTTTGGAGCTTGGGATATTGTTATGAAAGGCCTAACATGGAGTATAGGAAAGGGAAGTAAGGTTCAATATTTCTGGACAGATAACAGGGTTTATTTGGGGCCTCTCAACCTTTTTTAAATCGGCTCCACCCCGAGCCTATAATGAAAGATAGAAGGATTAATAAATAAAGAGTTTCATCAGAAAACTTTTAATATCAAGCTGAAAACTAAGTTATTTCTTTGGCTTTTAGTTATGAAAAAGGTCCTCACAAGAAAAAAAAAAAATCTTAATCAAAAGAGGATGCATGGGGCGGATCGAACATGCCACTCTTGTCTTGACTACTACAAGGAACAGAAAATTGTGGATCAATCCTAGTCAAAATGAAAGTATCTAAACAAACAGAGAGGAAATAAAGGTCAATAGAATATGAAATAGTGAAGTTGTTTAATTTGGAACATTTAGGAACAAAGAAATATCATCCCATTCAATCGAACTAATTATCCAAATCCTAATCCTATCAACTCAATCAAGTTCATTATGTGGCTAGCAATGTGTTGTGGTGAGCAGATTTGAACTCTTCAAACTAAAGGGGTGTTTGACATCATGGTTAGTTTTGTTATTTGAAAACAAAAACAATTGCCACATCGATAGCGTTCTTGCATACAAAGCTACGAAGATAGGTCGGAACAATGTCAACATCGCTATGATAAAGGTGGCTAGGGTTAGCCCATGGAGGTCATTTTACATCATCCATGACATGCATTTGGAAAATTGTAAAAAGCACAAGAGCAAAAATCAAATCTATTTATAGCAAGATTCAAAAGTATCACGATGATGTATCGGTGTGTATCGTACGATACATATTGGTTTTCAGGGCCACTGATATTCATGTGCCACATGGAGTCATAGAGGGAATTCGTCATGAGGACCTCAAGAGTAGGAAACTTCAGCCCAGCCCAGCCTTCAGGATGGGCCGACACCCTTAGGCTGTGTTTGGTTTGAAAGAAATTAAAAGGTAGGAAAACCTACCTTAAGCTGTGTAGGTTTTTCTTCCTTTCTCTACCTTTTTTTTCAGACCAAATACAGTCTTAGTAACATCATACAGACTCCACCTGATTTTATTGAATCAGGACCGATCCAATTATTTTGCTGGGACACTGAATGAGAGGTGGATTGGCTGAGTTTTGGTTGATGGAGAAAATAACAAACAAGTGGGTTGGTGATACACATCAATAATGGTGGTAGAGATCAATAAAGATCGACCACTGAAATATATCTCCATCAAAATAAGTGGTAGTTTAGTGATTTGCTTAATTGCTCTTTGATTTTGGTTAATGGCGGATCTTCTTCTTTTCAAAAAAAGATCAAAGAGCCATTGTTGTCAAGTGCTTTTGTCCTTTTCACTTAGAGGACCCCTTGCCCAAATTAAGGGGCACCCTTGTTCGGGGAATTGATGGCTTAAATTAGAAAATACATTTGTATTGGTTGGAAGTCTTTCTCAAAAAGATTTGAGAATTTAACAAGGAAGACTTCTGTAACTTTCCAAACAAAAATCAATTAGATCATGGAATTGAAAGGGGAAAATGTTAGAAAATCTACTTACATTAATCCTCCAACGTGAAGCTGATGACAGTAGCAATCTGCTACTACACTGACTCACTGCCTATGGTTTAATGCAGCTTTTTAGCTTTTGCAAATTTCAAAGCTATATTGTTAGAGAAGGAAAACCTATACAGGGACTTCGCCTAACAGCTTAAGCTTTTTACATTGAACTAATCCATTCAGTTAGAGAATAAATACAAATTCAAGTACCTCCTCACCTAACATGTTGATGATTCGGTGAGCATGACTTCATACCTTCTTCAAGAACTTAGGGGCTGTTTGGCAACAACTGAAGTGACTTAACTGAATGACTTGTAGCTTTGTCCTTTATGCCATGTTTGTTTACCGTGTAAACGCTGAACCAATGTTGTATTGCACTCTTCTGGTCCAATTTTGCACACATTTGGTAGTCATCTTTGAGATAAAAATGAACTCCCATCTCTCTCTTCTTCCCACTGGAGATATTGCGACAGTCTGTTTGCATTTGCCTTCCTTTC